GTCCACGCTGATTGCCCCTGAGGGAGACCCGAATGCACCAGACATCCCGACTCCTCGATCGTACGCTGAGGCGATCGAGGGTCCCTACTCCTCTCAGTGGCAGTCGGCCATGGACGCAGAGATGGCTTCCTGGAAGTCGACAGGCACCTACGTGGACGAGGTTCTCCCACCTTGGGCGAACATCGTCAGTGGCATGTGGATTTTCAAGGTGAAGCGGCCGCCGGGTTCTTCGCCTGTCTTCAAGGCGCGCTACGTGGCTCGAGGCTTTAGTCAGCGGCAGGGAGTTGACTACTTTCAGACCTCTCCCACCCCGAAGATGACCACTTTTCAGGTGCTGCTGCATATAGCCGCTCAGCACCACTACGAGCTTCACTCTCTTGACTTCAGCACAGCTTTCCTACAGGGCAGCCTGCACGAGGAGATCTGGCTGCGCCGCCCACCTGGCTTCACTGGGTCGTTTCTTTCTGGTACCCAGTGGAGCCTCCGGCGGCCAGTCTACGGTCTCCGCCAGGCGCCCCGTGAGTGGCACGACACACTGAGGACTACATTTGCGGCTCTTGGGTTTGCTCCTTCTACAGCCGACCCGTCACTGTTTCTGCGCAGCGACACCTCTTTGTCGCCGTTCTACATCCTCGTGTACGTCGACGACTTGGTCTTTGCTACTGCTGGACTCGCCCACATGAAGTCCGAGCTGCAGAAGAGACACACGTGCACAGACCTGGGTGAACTGCGCAGCTACCTTGGCTTGCAGATCACCCGGGACAGAGCACAGCGCACCATTACCCTGACTCAGTCACACATGGTGTAGCAGGTCCTTCAGCGCTTCGGCTTCACGTACTCCTGGCCTCAGGCCACTCCTCTGTCTACTCGCCACTCGCTCTCAGCTCTGCCTTCGGATGAGTCCGTAGAGCCGAGTGGCCCGTACCCAGAGCTTGTTGGCTGCCTCATGTACCTGATGGCCTGCACTCGACCCGACCTTGCATACCCTCTTAGCATCTTGGCAGGCTATGTTGCTCCTTGGAGACACAGACCACAGCACATGGTTGCAGCGAAGAGGGTGTTGCGCTATGTGTGCAGTACGTCGGGCATGGGGCTCGTGCTTGGAGGGCGGAGTCCAGTGGTCCTCACTGGTCACGCTGACGCTTCTGGGCTGATGACCAGGCTATGCAGCGGTCGTCACAGGGTTACATCTTCAGCCTTGGTTCCGGCTCTGTTTCGTGGCGGTCTACCCGCTCGTCTTCTGTTCTCGGCTCCAGCTGTGAGGCTGAGATCTACGCAGGGGCCATGGCTGCACAAGAGTTACGCTGGCTCACCTACCTGCTGACTGACCTAGGAGAGGCGCCTCGTTCTCCTCCAGTTCTGTACGTAGACAACAAGGCCATGCTGGCCTTGTGTCAGGAGCACAGACTGGAACACAGAACGAAGCACATTGCTCTTCGCTACTTCCTTTCTCGTGAGTTGCAGCAGCGTGGTCAGCTGCGCCTTGCTTACGTGGCCTCTCGGGCCAACACTGTTGATATCTTTACCAAGGCACTTCAACCTTGTGATCATCAGCGGTTTTGTACGATGCTAGGTTTTGTGCCTACTTGGCCTCACTTGCTCACTTCTTGACCTTGCTTGTACTGTGATCTTTCTATACCTGCCCTTGCGTGTTTACCTTTATATATAATACTGCTTGTGAACTGGCCTTTTGGCCTTGAATTGGTGGTCGGAATGTGTAGTGACATTGTGATCCACCCTGAGTTTGCTTTGTTTGACTGGTCTTGTGACCCCTGGTTCTCCCCCACTTTGCCTATGGGGGTGTGTCAGATTTATATGACATAGTGTTTGTAGGCTCTAGTGGGGTAGACACCAAGGGGTAAAGGTTTCTAGGGTTTCATATTTGTATCACACACTTTCGTAGTTCCATCATTCCTCGTTATTTCACTGTTCGCTCATGTCTCAAATACCACCTCAATCCCCCCCCCCCCCCTCCATTTTTTCCTTTTTTTATTCTTTCTTTCTTTCTTTTCTTTCCCGGTTACCTAGAACCTATTTTCGCTTTCACTTAAGCCCTTCCCCAAATCCTTCAGGTCAAGTGCCATTCAATGCAATATGCACTAATTGATGTGGCACGCCCCGTCAACAGCGTTGACTTTCGTCTCTTTCTCCGAAAGCAATCCCGCCTCTGCTCTATTGATGTGCGTGGGAGGGGTGATGAGTGAGAGGTGACGTGACGAGTGAGGGGTGATGAGTGAGAAGAGATGAGTGAGGGGTGGGTGAGGTGAGGGTGAGGGTACGGCAGACTTTGCTCTCTTGACGTGTGTGTGAGGGGTGAGAGGGGTGAGAGATGGTGCGTGGGGGTGGAGGGTTAAGGGTGAAGGGTGAAAGGTGAAGCAGGCTCCGCTATCTTGACATATGTGTGTGAGGGGCGATAGGTGAGGTATGAGGGATGGGGGGTGAGGTTGCAATCATCCCTATTTGCAGCAGCCTCAAATCGGACATGCTATAAAGTCACTTAGCTAGAGCAGTCATTGGCATGTCCATTCCTTCCCTGCCCACTTTGTTGACTTGCACCTCTTTCTCCAGAAAAATATCCTAAACCGATCCAAATCGGTCATTAAACATGCTTCAAACGCACCTTGTGCGTTTGTGTTTGGTGAATGCATTTCACTCTTCTCATTTCCTGCAGTGCGCTATTTTCTTTCTTCCATGCTCCACTCCAACCACCCCTCACTTAGCTCCACCCTCTCCTCTCCAATCAGGGCACCACTCGGTCTGCCTTGGAGCGCATGGCATCGACTGCACTCATAGAGACAAGTTGTTGTCATGACCTCATCAAAGTGCCTGTTGTGTTGGCCGCCTGCCTCCCCAGGTCTCGACTTTGATGCCACCACGATGCATCCATACCAATCCCCATCATCATCATCCTCACTTCCCCACTTCTCTCCCACCTATCAATCAGGACACTAACAAGTTTGCCTTGGAGCGCAGATCATCGACTGCAATCATCGCACCAAATGCAATCATTGACAGCTCCTCACTTCCCCCTATCCCCCCTGCCTCACTCCAGGGCACCACTCGGTCTGCTTTGGAGCGCATAGCATCGACTGCACTCATCGAGAGCTCCTCAAAGAGCCTGTTGCGCTGGCCGCATGCTTCCCCAGACCTCGACTTTGATGCCACGGCCATGCATCCACACCCCTCATCATCTTCATCATTCGCCTCTTCTTTGTCACTCTCATGGTCACCCCCATCATCATCCCTCGTACCATCTTCGGTCTCGTCTGAGTCACCTCCCGCTGCTGAATTCCCTCAAACTACAACTACAACACATGGGAGAACACCAGCCATTTCACCACCAGCCACTCGCTCTGTTCTCGCGGGTGTGTGGCGCCTCAAGAAGCGGGTGATTTCGAGTGAGCGCTTGGTGTGGAAGCTGAATGAGATTCACGAGGCCGTGTGGTACCAGCCTGAAAGCTCCCTCAAAAGCAGTATCGATGTCTACCTGCGCAGCTGGGGAGAGACCATGAAGGACCATGAAGGTATGATGCTTCATGCTAAGATGAACGCTTGTTGTGGAAATTGAATGAGATTCATAAGGTGGTGTGGTATCACCACCACCACCAAACGTATCACTCTCCCCCGCTCCTGTTCCTTCTCCTTCCTATTCTACCATGATGCAGTGCTACGATCGGCCAGATCCTGGCCTGGCAACCCAAGTGCTGCCCATTTATTTTTCTTAGGCGCCTAAAAAATCAGATCACCCTCCCCTGTTCCTGTTCCTTCTCCTTTCTACCATGATGCAGTGCTACGATTGGCCAGAGCTTGGACCAGCAACCCGAATGCTGCCCAGTGAATCAGCACCATGCTCTTACTCCGCCGAGTCTTGTTTCGACTTGAGCTTGCAGCAGGCAGCCCCACAGTGGACTCCAGAGAGCATTCTTGGTGAGTGCCCTGCGTTTATAGAATGGCTGCAAGAGCGCCTGCCATGAAGGCCATGCATTAAGGAATATTGCCGTCCTCCTACACCGCAAAATCTTGCTTTGACTCAAGCTTGAAGCAAACGGCGCCACGGTGGACTCCAGAGAGCTTTTGAGTCGACTAAAAAATGGACTCCAGGAAGCCTTTTGGCTGAATGCCCTGCGTTTATAGAACGGCTGCAGCAGCGCCTGCCATAGAGATCGGCATGAATGCAGGAAACACAAATGTTCCCATGAACGCCTTACCTTGGGTTAGGTCTCAATGTATTGTGCGACGCTATACCATGAAGGGGTGTGAACGCACCCTATTTCCAACGTCCCAGAGCACATCGTCCTGGTTTTTTAGCACGGCACATCCTGGGTTAGCTTAGTCCGAAAGAGGTTTTAAATGATTTTGAATACAATTTGATGTGAACTTACAATTCTATTTCATCCTTGGTTGTTCACGATGACGATCAAGGTGATACTGACAATACAAGGCGCAGATTCAATTGAGGATGTCGCACACTCGAAGACGAGTGGTAGACAAAGCCCAACGAAGACGTAACGAAGATTGTTCATTCTGCTTCGCACTGAGTTGAAGGTATATCCTTTCGTGACCAATCGGGATGGTGAGGACGGCTATTTCCTGACTGACTGAGACTGACCCTGGGTATTGCCGACTTTTTTCTAGGTAGATAACCATTTGTCGGTTGAGGCAAGCATAGGTAGGTACTTAATGGAATTGTATTTGTCGATAATATTCGTCTGTATCGCCTAGCTTCGTCCTCATTGGATTGACTCTGCGGACAAATCCCGAGAAATGGGGGAATCCATCGCCATGGTTCCCCCCTCCTGTGATGGGTACAGTAACTCAGTAGGCTCGTTATCCTGCGCGAACATGCGTGCTTCCGCCGGCGAAACCAGTGATACCAATCAAGCAACTGATCATATATGCTCCAGTTCCAGTGACTCGGATTACCTGTTCCACTTCAACTCTGGTTCCCCTCCATTACTGGCACAGCTCCTTCCGCTCCATATCGAACGTCGCTTGTCACCATGGTTCCTTCCGATATTAGTCACATGCCGCTTCCCGAGCCTGAGATCTTCGTCGACGTCGCTATAGCGGGGGCTGGACTTGGCGGTCTCGCGCTGGCAGTCGGTCTGCAGGAGCGAGGCTTTAAGTCAGTCATGCTCTTCGAGGCCGTGCCTTACTCCCGCTCCCAGACCGGCACGGTTTTCGGCATCTCTCCCAACGGCGTCACGGCGCTCGAAGGGTTAAAGCCCGGGCTCGGCGACGCTGTGATTCGCTGCGGATCAACGATCACGCAAACGAGGCTCGTTTCTCGAGAAAATCCGGAGCGTACTGAATCTGCATCGGCCATTGCTTCAAGCGGCGGTAATAGCAGCAGCGGCGGTTTCACCAGTAACGACGCTGCTACTAATGGAGCTGGTGAAAATAGTGATGGCTGGGTTGTGAAAAAAATGCCTAGAAACCTGACAATCGTAGGGTGGGCGCGAGCCCAAGAGGAGCTTGCCTCGTCTTTAGTAACGCGACCCGAGATTATTATGCACGGACACCGCGTCGTGGCGTATTACCCTGTCGTCGCAGGAGTGCCCATTGCGAACAGGGGTGCTGGATCGGGTAGCACGAATGGTGGTGCTGGAGAGGGAGAGGTGGAAGCGGTTGACGTGGTGCTTGAGGTCGTGGGTTCGAATCTCGAAACCACAGGAGCAGTGCAGATGCAGCGTCAGCTGGTGGTTCGTGCGAAGATTCTGGTCGCAGCAGATGGCCTGCGATCAGCTGTGCGAAATCAAATGATCGGCGACTCGCCACGGTATTTATAACAAATTGGTTGGAATGCGCTTGTTCCAAATCCGCCGAGTGCGAGAGTGTACCCACAAGAAGATCAGGAGTTATTATATTATATGGATGAGGTTATGGGTTACCAGCTGTTTCTGATTGACATCGGCCACGGGAAGACCTTTTGGCAGGTATGCTGTTACTTTGCATGCGGTGGTGTAATTATTTTGCACATCTTTCCTGTGAACCTGTTATTTTCCTTTCTACACTGTTTCAACCTAACCCAGCAGAAGATCCTGCCATGGCGTTTTTAGCCTATGCATCGCTTTTCACCGCTTTTGAAATTCGCTCTACCCAAACCATCTTCCCAATCGCAGGTACGCGTAATTGACCCTGATAGCAAGCTGAAGCCCGAGCTCAAACTTACACCCTTTGGGGGATTCGGGAAACCAGGTGTCAAGGACCGTTTGATGTGCCATGTCAGCAAGAACATTGCAGACCCATCAGGCCATGACATCTGGCATACCGTGCTTCAGGCGGTTACCACGACCGACCCCGGTAACATCTACGAGCGGTGGATGATGGACCGGCCTCCTCCGAAGGATTCTTGGAGCGACCCCAAATGTGGTAACAGGGTTGTTCTTATGGGGGATGCTGCACATGCCATGCACACTGGCCCAGGGCAAGGAGCTCAGATGGCATTTGAAGATGCACACCAGCTGTCCATGTGCCTTGCTGACGTCAAGGATGTCCTTGCCGAGCCTGCAGCCGTGGCTGCTGCGGTTCGGGAGTACGAGGCTCGTCGAATCGACAGGTGTGTGAGAGTACATGCATACGCCACTGCAACACATGGGTTTGGAGAGGAGGGGAAACTTGTGAAGGCTCTTTCTCCGCCAGAGAAAATGAAGAGGTTCATGGAGTTCAGGAGTTGGGTCCATGCGTACCCAGACAAGATCAAAGGTGACCCTGAATCCACCTACTTCAAATGATCCACCTAATCTGATCTTCACGACTCAGAATTAGCTTGATTGAGTAAGGTTCTGGATGGATGCCTTTCAAGGAAATAGTGTGTCTTACAGTGGTTGGTGTTTTTGGGTAGCTGGAATATCATCTCTGGTTCTGGTTGGTTTGGCTACTGGAATAGTAGTTGGGTCAGTGTTGCTGGAAGAACTCATTGCTGGTTTGTCACCAAGTACACCGCTGTACTGGTATCTAGTTCCTAAATCTGAACTCTCCTGTAGGAACTAGATAGTACAGCAAGCAAGTTTCAGGAAAGTTCTGTTCTGACTGAGGATGCTTTTATTGTGCAACATTCATTTAGTAGTTCCATTCTGTTCTGTTGCCCTGTGAACTCCTCCCATTCGATGCACAATTCGCACTTGCTGGGCACTGTCTAGCCTGGAGACCTCAACGATAGCTTTAATGAATTGTTCCTCAGACTGAACAATCCAGAGTCACTTTATTGGAAAAAGGTGGAATCTGGATGCCCATCGATCTTGTCAGGATAAGCATACATCCACCTGATGAACTCCATGGTAGCTTTCATCTGATCCTCCACGCTCCTGCTCTTGAACTCCCTTCCCTCCTCCCCATACCCAATCAGCCTGGTTGCATGCTGATGCACCTTCACACACCGCGCTATCCGCCGAGCCTCAAACTCCCGAATCGCCGCAGCCACGGCAGCAGGCTTGGTAAGCAGGTCCGGATCCCCCGTCTCACCCAAGCACAGGGACAACTGGTGAGCATCCTCAAACCCTGTCAGAGCCCCCTGCCCCGGCCCAGGATCCATGGCATGGGCCGCATCCCCTATAAGAACAACCCTGTTACCGCATACAGGGTCGCTCCAGGAATCAGCGGGCGGCGGACGATCCAGCTGGCGACGTTCGAATATTAGATTCTCCGGGGTGGAGGAAGCTTCTTGGAAGGCTCGTTCCCAGAGCGGGTGGTGGGGGAGGTTGGCCTGGATGAGAGGGAGCAGGCGGGCTTTAATGTTGTGCTTGCTGCCGAAGCCTGCAAAGGGGGTGCCTTGAGTGTTGGGTCCATTTCATAATCCACGTATCGCACCTGAAGAAAGGGAAAAGAACAGGGGATGCCTCTTAGGCGTAAAATGAGGGGAATATCTTGGCGTTTGCAGTCCAATTCTTAGTCCATATATTGTACCTGAGGAGAGGGGAAAGGGAAACAGGAAGGAGGGGTGCAGCACAGGCAGGGTAACGTGGATGAGAGGGAGGACGCTGTACCTGCCACAACAGTACCTGCTACAACCGTACCTGGCACAACCGTACCTGGCACAACCGTACCTGCCACAACCGTACCTGCCACTTACCTGCCACAACCGTACCTACCACAACCGTACCTGCAACAACCGTACCTGTCATTCTGTACCTGGCACTACTGACCTGCCAGTACCATACATGCCAGTCCGTACCTGCCAGTACCATACCTCCCAGGACCATACCAGCCAATACCTGCCAGATTCTCTCGCCGTTCTTCAAAGTGATGAAGATCGCACTGCATCCCGTCACCTCGTCAATCAGGGCCGTCAATTCAGGAACAGCAGCCTCTCTTGATTCTCCTGAGCTGCTGACGTCAGCGGGACTGCTGACATGAACTGGAGTGCTCAGGAACGAATTCCAAGCGATCTGATTGAGAAAACGCGGCGAGTCGCCGATCATCTGATCCCTCACAGCTGATCTCACCCCGTCAGCTCCCACCAGCATCTTCGCCCTCACAACCACAATTTGCTTCTCGCCAGGATTCGAACCCACAACCTCACAGATCACATCCACCGCCTCCACTTCACTTTCTCCCCCTTCTTCACTCCCCTCCCCCGCTCCCCTCACCCCCCCCACTTCCCTCACTCTTCCCGCTCCCTTCGCTTCCCCTGCTCCCCCCGCCGCCCCCGCTTCCGCCTCCCCGCCACCCCTGCGCTTAAACACAGGGCGGTACCCCACCACGCGATGCCCACATCGCACCAAATCAGGCCTAGGGAGTGCCGATGCGAGTGCCTCTTGGATGCACCACCAGGGAACCATGTTCAGCCCCGCTACTTCCGTCTCCGCCACCAACCAATCAGAACTTTGTGCTGCTCCGTCTCTCCCAAACGCACTTCCGCCACCTGCCCTTGCGCCACTGCCGCCACTTCCGCCGCTTTCCGCGCACCCACTTTCCCCCGGCCCGCTTTCCGCTCCGCCTGACGGCGACGGCAGTGGCGGCGGCGGCTGCGGCGGCTGCGGCGGCCTGCGCCGGTTGTAGAGCCTCCGCCGGTTCACCAGCGTGCCGTGTCGCGCCACGGAAGCGCTCAACCCGGGCAGGATTCCGTCGAGAGCGGCGGCGCCGTTCGGCCAGATGACGAGGACGGTGCTGTTGCTCGATCGCAGCGCGGGCGCTGCCTCGAAAACGGCCGCCTCGACGCCGCGCGACTGCAGGCCGGCGGCCAGCGCGAGCCCCGCGAGCCCGCCGCCCGCGATCGCCACGTCCACGTGGAATGAGGGCGGCGGAAGCTCCGCCGCGGCGGTCGGACTTGGCGCAGCATTTCGCGGTATGTTCGGCGCGTTTCTGACTGCCGGATTGGAGGAGCTTCGTGGCCGCGTGAGGCTACTATCCGCCGTGCCTCGGAGGGACAAATCTTGGTTGTCACAATGAGTGATTTTAGAGGCATAGTTGCGACGTCGCATCGTCATGCGACGACATTGATCCGTCGTTCTGAGTCGCAGGATCCAAGTAGCGCATGCCGCCGTGGCGACACGAGGAGCAGAGATTCCGACGGCAGGCGGGCCGAAACGGGCTACCATAGTTATGATGGTTATATTCTATGGAGGCCTGGACAGGATAATCAAAATCTTGGAATAAAGGGACTCCCATTTCCCTCTTTGCGAGGGAAGGAGAGAGGGAGCGACTACGTGCATGCATTTCCAGCGGCTTCAGGCAGCAGAGGCGAGGCGGCGAGGAGGAATCTTGGAAATAAGAATTCCGCCAAGGGGGAAGAGTGGAGGAGGAGGTGTGGCAGGAGAGACGGAGGCCTCGAGGAATCGACGTGCCGCGCTGCAACTCGATAAGTGAGATGCTGGGAACACGTCGGTATGGATGTCAACCGGGGAATATATGTCGGCGGTTTCGGGTGCATGGATCGTCGTTTGAAGCCGTCCTAGCAGCCGTCGGCTAGCGGGACACTGGGGATTGCATTGCAACTGCAAGATGAGCGACTCTTGGAATTGCCACGCCTGTGTGTCGTCAATGGCAGTGGGAGGAGAAACACGCTCGAGAGAAGATTTTGGGATTGACAGGACGGGACGTTGGAAGCGACAGGAGAAGCAGTTGTTCCGGAAGGGAGATAGGGGGCGATCCAGTTGGGTTGAGCGTTTTGTGAAGGGAAATGGGAATCGGAATTGGGAACTTTGAGGGCTGGGCGTTTTAGGTTATGATATTGTCGAGGCGTACACCACTCTGACGTTTGTAAATGTGGTAAGTTCACTTGATATTCTCCAGATGGTGCTGGTGAATGATTTGGAGCAGCTCAACTAGTTTATTGTGTAGTAATGAACAAATAAATTATTTTTTTGTGTACAAAATCTGCTTGACATACAGTACTTACAAAGTTGAAAGCCCGAGCAAATCAGGAGGCCTGGATGCTATATACGCTGGTTGAGTACCAGTAGAGGCTTTGAGTCGTGTCTGCAGCTACACCTTCTGAGTGCTGCAGCTTGACGGGCCTCTATGTCCTTGACTTATTCAAATCGGGAACACAATGCAATATGATGCATCATTGTTCTCTGCTACGGTATTAGTGCTGCATAGCAATTTACAGGGCTGGAACAAGCGCAGAGCATGCTTATTGAAGTATTGGAGCACCTGTCATTGAAAAAGCGCCGTGGTCTGGTCCTTGTGTAGCAACAAGATTGGAGAGCGTCAAGGTCTCTCAAGGATTTGAGCCATCTATAAAATTATGAGGAGGGAGGAGCCCATTGATCTGGTTCATCTGCAGACGAAGGTTAACCCAGGCTCCACCTGGTACGGTATATGGACACAGGTTCTTCTCACATGCCGTTGCTGCTGCTGCCCCAAAGCACCTTGTTCCTGCTCCAATGGAAGTGCGGCAGTTGCTCCTTCATTGGGAAATCATGGATCTAGTGGCAGCTGCGTACACGGTGGAAGCCCTTACAAGCCCCTAAGTGCTTCTCTATACTGAGGATGAGCTAGGCCCCCGAAACATGTGGACTGCTGGGTCACGTAAAAAAACTACATAGGAAAGTGGTGTATACTGCAGTGTAGCTTGTCAGGAATTATACGAGAACCTACAGTACTGCTTCTTTTCAGATAGTGCGAATCTGAAACAGTGGCGAATGAGAGCAGATGGATGGAGGAAGGCGACTGCGAACACCGCTGTGGGAAAAGGAAGAGATCCGAAGAGATCCGAAGCACAATTTTTGACACGTCTCCAAGGCAGACGCATGCGGAAGCTCAGGCGAAAGGAACTTTGGGAGAGGAGAATGCGAGGGCATGGGTCCAAAAGACCATCCGGAAATGGATCAAATAGGAAATGGAACTTTGTTGCCTTGCGAGTGGAAAGCTGGGCCTATAGGAGAAGACACAGGAGCTGTTGTCTTGCCTCTTTGATCGGACATGAAATATTTGCTACCGAGTCAGTCTTTACTGAGTCCTTTTCCAGGTTCCAGTAGGTGATATCTGGGTTGACAATCGGTTGTGATTCTGATGCTGATGCCGATGCTGGTGCCGACGCTGGCGCCGATGTTGGTGCCAATGCTGGTGCCGATGCTGGTGCCAATGCTGGTGCCGATGCTGGTGCCAATGCTGGTGCCGATGCTGGTTCCGACACTGATGCCGATGCTGATGCTGATGCCGATGCTGATGCCTATGCTGATGCCGATGCTGTGTGAGTGAGTGGTCAGTTGAGGTAGCCTCGGCACCTGGAGGAAAGAAAGAGAGGGAAGGTTGAGGTTGTGGGGAGATTGTTTGAGTGAACTGAGCAAGTAGTGGCAAATAGTAAAAGGCATGCAAAACCTCAACATCTGGAGAAAAAGAAGAAAAAGGTGGGGAAGGAGGAGAGGCATGCTCGTGGGGATGCTCTGGAGGAGCTTTCACCTCTGGAGGAGCTTTCACCTCTAGAGGAGCTTTCACCTCTGGAGGAGCTTTCACCTCTGGAGGAGCTTTCACCTCTGGAGGAGCTTTCACCTCTGGAGGAGCTTACACCTCTGGAGGATCTAGTGTTGCAAGAAGGTGAAACTGCTTTCAAACGTCTCCAAACCCCCACGCTTCAATCACGAGTGGTGAGCGCGCATGGACCAGACCCGGTGCGAGGGAGCAGCGTTGAGCAGCAAACCACAGGGGACTCACTTCCTTGAGAGGCAGAGTCAGGGGATCTTAGCATCGTCGTCGATGCAAAACTTGTAGTCCTTTTAACTGAGCTCCTCCCCCGCTTGAATCACGAGCCTAGCCTCGAGTAGAGCAGAAGCAACACTGGAGGCTCGAGCAGAAGCACTGTTGAGAAGTATTGGCTTGAAGCCGAGGCAGCACTAGGTGTGCCAGAGGCGAGACTCACTTTCTGGAGAGGCAGAGGCAGGGGATCTTGGCATCGTCCTCAATGGGAAACTTGTAGTCGTAACGTAACTGAGGTCCTCCCCCACTTGGGCCACGAGAAGAGCAGCCTTGAGAACGACCAGCATGAAATGGAAGCAGAAGTAGGAGAGAACTCACTTCCTTGACAAGCAGAGGCAAGGGATCTTCGCGTCGTCTTCGATGGGGAACTTGTAGTCGTAACTGAGCTCCTCTCCTGCTTGAATCACCCGCTTGGAGTAGATCACCACGTGCTTCTGCCCCTCTGCTACTATCACCTTGGTGTAACAGTTGGGCTGGAATGAAGGGGAGAGGTGGATTAGATTGTGTGGGCAGTTGGAGGAAGGATGGGGGCGCATTACGTTTCAAGCCTCCCTCATCGTACATATCGTTTCGTGCATATCGCACTAGTTTCTTGACAGCTCCATTGAAATCACTGACAGAGCACAACCCTGAGCTACATTTCTTTCTCCCCACATCTAATCACATCACCGAGCACTTAAACAAGTCACTCACAACAATCACGTGATTTATGAATTGAGTGGGTTTTCTTTTCTACAGCTCCTCCATTTTTGTTCCAGGGCCTTTTACACTCACATCACAAGAGTGGTTGATGAATCGAGCGAGGCCGCCACTGCGAGTGGCGTTCACCTGAACAGTAAGCGTTCCGATAAGAACAGCAAGAGGAGGTGGATGGGGAGATCAATTAGAGGATCAGGAGATAAGTGTAAGAGTAAAATCCGGAAGTAGAGGAGGGCAAGGCACTCGGAATCAGAAAAAGATTTGAAAGGCAAAAGTAAGTGTTTCGATTCAATCCCCTGCTGCCAATGTCACTGTCTGCCACATGCCTCCTCCCCCACGTGCCACCTCCTCCGCATGCCACCTCCCCCACATGCCAGCCACCTCCCCCATGTGCCACCTACCACAAACAATCTCGACCACTCACCACCACATCTTCATCCACTCGAAACAAGTAGCTGCTGCCAATGCCATCCGCCTCATACATCCTCTCCCGCAGCTCCGACACTTGGTGGGTGGGAGGGTCAGAGCGTGGCAAGTAGGTGAGAAAGGAAAAGAGTGTGAGTTCACTCTTAATCAGTCGCAGGTTGGTTGATGCTGCCAATGCCATCCGCCTCATACATCCTCTCCCGCAGCTCCGACACCTGGTGGGGGTTGCATGAATGGTGAGAAAGAAAGAGCGAGAGTGTGAGTCCACAGTCGCATAGCCAGCTGATGCCATCAACACCATCTCCCTCATACATCCTCTCCCGCAGCACCGATAGCTGATGGGTGGTGAATGTTGAGGTAAGACGGAAAGAGAGAGTGGGCCCGCAGTTGCATATTCGCGGACAGGCTGATGCTGCCAATGCCATCTGCCACATACATCCTCTCCCGCAGATCCGACACCGGATGGTTGGGTGCGTGGGTGGGTGTTGACACGAAAAGGAAGTAAGTTCACCAAACAATTGCATGGTTGAATGGTGCTGCCAATGCCATCTGCCACATACATCCTCTCCCGCAGATCCGACACCGGATGGTTGGGTTGGGTGTGTGGGCGTTGAAATAAAGAGGTGGTGGATTTTCGGCATTTACATTCAATACCTTAACATTCTCCGCATGTAGATTCCCTACCTTATCATAGTAGCACTAACCGATCGCCAGATGATGGTGCCGGTATACTCGATGATGAAATCCCCTGCTTCAATCCGCTCCAGAGACAGCAGCTCCCACCAGTGTATCCGGCTGCTTTCAACCTTCCAATATTCCAAACGTTTCATCAGCACTCGCCCATCATCCCAGAGAACTCACCGATCGGCGGATAATTGTTCCAGTAAACTCGATGATGAAGTCCCCTGCTTCGATGCGCTCCAGAGACAGCAGCCCCCACCCGTGTATCCGGCTCCGCACCAGCTTCAGATTCTTCTTCCTCCCCTTCAGCTGCTTGAACCTCACCCCTTCCAACCCCTCTGAACCCACCGCTAGCTGCCTCAGCAGCGCCCTGCTGCTCCTTGCACTGCCGATCAGGGAGAGAGCACCACTCCCCATGCTATTGCCCGCACCCATCCCCTCCCATGCTTCCTCCCCTGTTGCTCCTCCTCCTCCTCCTAGCAACCCCACTCCACCCCCTGCAGCAGAGGCAAACAGAGGGAGGCGGGAAGAGGAACCTGGGAGGTTGGCCTGGAAAAGATTCGCTCGGGAGAGCAGGCGGGGAGTGCACATGGAAGCCCCTGCGCCCGGCCCTGTGCCGTCTGCTTCCCATTCTCCCGCGCCCTCGCCTCTATCCCCTTTATAGTACGCCTCGGCTCGTTGCTTTAGAGCCTCTCTCTGAGCAATTTGCTTCACGTGTTCTCTCCATTCCCATCCGCCCCACTCCACACGAGCACACGACGATCTCTCCCTCTGCTTCCTTTCCCTTTCCTGCTTCTCCTTCTCTCTCTTCTCCCTCCGCTCCTGCTCCCTCCTCTCTTTCTTCTCCTGCTTATCTTCCCAAATCCCCTCATCAAGCTTCCGTTTCTTCAACATTTTCTTCCTCTCCTCCTCTTCCTCCATTCCCCAATGCATCCCTGCACCCTCCCCATGACCATCACCCAGCAAAGAAACCCTCACCTCCTGCTCTCTCTCAAAATCATCTCCTTCCTCTTGCTTTAAATCTGTCTCCCTCCTCTTCGCATAATCTTCCTCCTCCCTCTCCACCTCACCCTCCTCCCCACTCCCGTGACCCAGCAGCCCACCTGGCTGCTCCTCTGCCTGCCTGCTAGCCAGAATAAGCTGCCTCTCCGTCCTCGCTTCAACTGAATGTACACCAGTAGACTTTTTCTTTCCCTTTGCTGCAGCTGCATGTGGGACCGGAACCAATTCAGATGACTTTGACGTTCTAGACGCACCAGCAGCAGCAGCAGCAGAAGTAGCACCAGCTGCTGAACCGTGCATTGAACCAGCTGAGGTATTCTGCAGGTATCGCATGAGCTGGCGCTCCGTGCCAATAGGAACATGCCAGCTGGCTTCACCCTTCTCCTTGTCCCTTTCCTCACTCCCACTCCCATCCCCCTCTTCTTCATCACCCTTCCTTCTTTTCTTCTTCTTCCTCTTCCATTTTACCCTCGTGCCCTTACTCCCTCCTCTCGAATCAATCTCACTCTCCTCCTCGCGCTCCCTCTCCTGTGTCTCGCTCTCCTCTCTCTTACCCTCCCAATCGCCCTCCCTTGCACCAGACACACCTGCACCAGACACACCTGCACCAGACACACCTGCACCAGGTCCCCTTTCCTCTCCCCTTCGCTCTCCTCCGCTCCCATCCACTCATCAGACGACCATTCTGTGAATCGCCTACTCTTGCTTCGCTTCTTCTCCTTCCTCCTGTGCTTGCCCTTCTCCTCACCCCTCTCCCTCACTCTGCTCTTCTCTTTCTCCCTCTCCCGCTCCCTTTCTCTCTCCATCTTCTCCATCTCCATCTGATTCTCCCTCATCTTCCTCCTCACCCACTCCTCCCGCCAGTCATCCTTCTTATGAGCCTTTTGAGAATCTTCCAAAGTGTTACCACCACCTACCTCTCCTTTTGCCTCCCTCTCCCTCTCCCTCTCCCTTTTCATCTCGATCTGATTCTCCCTCATCTTCCTCCTCACCCACTCCTCCCGCCAGTCATCCTTCCTGTGGCCTGCAACGAATGACTGTTGCTCCCCTTGCATTTGTTCGCCCCTCCCCTCCTCCTTTCCCCTCCCTACAATCACACCCCTCTCTGCACCCGAACTGTGCCTATACACACTCTGATCCATGTGATAATAAGAGGGACCCCATCTGCCCATACCACCGCTCTCCACTCTTCCCTCCTTCCTCTCCTCTCCTCTCTCCTCTCTTCTCTCTTTTCGAGTCAATCCACGTTTCCCATCCCCTTCCCTCTCACCTTCCCCTCCCCCAATCTCCGACTTTATCCTCTCTCCCCCTTCAACCCCATGTCCCACGCCCTGCCCACCACTTCTCATCGCCTGAAACTCCGCCTGCAATCGCTGCTCAAAAGCAGCCATAAAAGCACTCTTCCCATCACCCCGCACCTTCACCAGAGCAGCCCCTGCAGTTTTCCCTCCACCCATCCCCACACCACCGTTAGCTAGGCCATCGCCACTAGCCGTTTTAGTACCCATATCCCTGCTCCCGCTTGTCTCCACACCCCAGTCCAGATAGCTGCCCTTGTACACTCCCAACTTTCTCGCTCTCGCATCCGACCCTTTTCGAGCACTTAACGAAGTGCCAGTTGTTTTTACCTCAAAACGCTTCTCCACCCCCATCTCCTCTCTTTTCTCCCCTCCCACTTCCTCCTTTCTCTTCCCTCCCTCCGCCCTGTTCTCCCCTCCCTCCTCTTCCCTCTTCTCCCCTCCCACCTCCCTAGTTCCAACTGCACCTGCCTTTCGCTCCTCACTATCCTCTGTCTCTTCCTCCTCTCCCTCTGCTTCCTCCTCTTTCCTCTCCTTCTCCTCCCCCATGTCTTCTCCAACCTTTCCTAAAGGGCTTTCCCTTTGCTCCTCATCCTCCTCTTCCCCCTCTTCCCGTCTCTCCCCAATACCTCCTAACAGCCTGCCTCTTACGTCCTCCTCCCTCACTCCTGCCCCATCGCATGACCCTTTCTCCCCCCCTCCTGCGTTTTTTCTCCGCCCCAATGCAACAGCAGCCGCAGCACCCATTGCCCCATGACTGGCATCACCTCTTTGCTTAGCCTCCCCGTGATTTCGATCCATACCCAAGCCTTGTTTAGCTGCATTTCTGTCAGATGCAACACCTCTATTCAGCATTTTCTCCCCCTTGGATGGCTTTTGAGTCGTCTCAGCTGCAGCACCATCCACTCGGCCTCGTTTCGTTTCAACGCGCATCAAAGCACGGTCCACACCCTGTTTTTGACTCGACTCAAAAGCACGATCCACTCCATACTCTTCTTCTTCTTTTCCCCCTTGTCTCAGCTTCGGTTCGTCCTGCTGACACCCCAAACGCAGCTTAGGTTCGGGAAGATGAGCAGGAGAGCTCACAGCCTGCCGAGCCACCTGCCAAACCTCCGGCGGAGCTGCATGCGTAGGCTCGGAATCCAGCCCTTCTGCTGCCAAAGCTGCAGCTTCGGTTTGGAGGGCGGAACGGAAGGAGAGGCTGTGAGCCGTATTGGCCCATGAGACCAGGCGGATCGAGGGGGTGAAGGAGGGTGAGGAGTGCCGGAGAATGGATGTCGAACGTGGGAGGTGCGAGGGAGGGAGAGGGTGAGAGCGGTGTGCTTGTGGGAGGTGCGATATCGAGAGAGGGGGCTGCTGTGAGCGAGCGGAAGGAGGGCGGTTGAGAGACAACAACACTTCCCTCCACTGACCGCTGCTGAGAGCCTGTGAGGAGAGGGGGGAAGGAGAAGATGCACTGAGAGAGCTACAGAGAGAGGTGAGAGAACTACGGAGAGGTGAAGAGATAGAGACCTGTGGCTGAGAGGCAACGACACCTCCCTCCACTGGCTGCTGGCTATTGCTTAGTGCCTGTGAGGAGAGGGGGAAGGAAAAGAGGCACTGAGAGAGCTATAGAGAGAGGTGAGGAGAGATGGTCCTGTGGCTGAGAGGCAACAACACCTCCCCTCCACTGGCCGCTGCCTAGTGCCTGTGAGGTGAGGAGGCAGGGATGGGGGATTTACAGTGAAGGCAGGAAAGGAGGCAAGGAAAGACGTAAGGATATATTTCGAGGCGCCTTGATAACAGACACTCCCCTTTGCGGAGGCCAGTGCTTAGTGCCTGTAAAAGGGAGGCAAGGAAAAGTGGCACCGAAAGAAGTGAGGAGAGAGGTAGGTGCCTTGGCACTCCTGTGGTTGAGAGAATTAGGGAACTAGAGATTAACACTTCCCTTCCCTCCACTTTTGAGTCGACTCAAAAGTCACCTCATTAGGGAACTAGAGATTAACACTTCCCTTCCCTCCACTTTTGAGTCGACTCAAAAGTGACCTCATTAGGGAACTAGAGATTAACACCTCCCTTCCCTCCACTTTTGAGTCGACTCAAAAGTCACCTCATTAGGGAACTAGAGATTAACACCTCCCTTCCCTCCACTTTTGAGTCGACTCAAAAGTCACCTCATTAGGGAACTAGAGATTAACACTTCCCTTCCCTCCACTTTTGAGTCGACTCAAAAGTCACCTCATTAGGGAACTAGAGATTAACACTTCCCTTCCCTCCACTTTTGAGTCGACCGAAAAGTCACCTCATTAGGGAACTAGAGATTAACACTTCCCTCCACTGGTCTCTGCTTCCTGCCGCTGAGGAGGGGAATTAGGGAGGAGGTAGGAAACCAGGCAAGGAGAGACAAAAGACCTGCTAATCCTCCTCATTCACCCTCAGCATGAACCGCCCCAGTAGCAGCTCCTCCTCCTCCTGCCCTTCGTTACTCGAGAATCGTTGGTTTTGTGAGAATCCTCAAAAGACAACTAGTGAATCCTAAAAAAACATCTACCGAGAGAGAGAAGGCTGGGATGGGAGTGGACTCACTCACCCTCAGCATAAATCGACCCAATAGTAGCTCCTCCTTCTCCTGCCCTTCGCTCTCCTCCATCCACTCCTCTCCATCCTCCTCTGATACCCCTCGTGCCATCCCCTCCATACTCCCGCCCTCCCTCTCCACATCCTCCTCGTCTCCATCACTCCCATCCTCCTCCTCTCCACTCTCCTCCCCTTCTTCCTCTTCTTTCTCCTCCTCCTCCTCCTCCTCCTCCTCCTCCTCCTCCTCCTCCTCCTCCTCGCTTTCCTCATCATCATCCTCATCCTCCTCCTCCTCCTCCCCCTCTCCCTCCTCCTCCTCGTCATTCTTCCCCTCCTCTTCTTCCTCCCCCTTACTCCTCAGCACCACGCCACCACCAAGACTCCTGGTACCCACTAGCGCTACCTTCCGACATGTCTCAAAAGCCACCCTTGTTTTGGCACTGCTACTGAACAGCGTTTGGAGGGCTGACAGGGGCTGGGGTGTCACAACATCCATCCCCTTGTCTTTCCTTTTCCCATCTGCACTCCTCTCGCTCACACTCCTCTCGCTCACACCCGTTTCGCCTGCAATTCCTCCACCCGCACCCCTGTCACCATCCCTTCCTTCATCCCCACTCAATCCATCCCCACTACCAGCCTCCCTTCCTGCATCTCCAGTCATCCCTCGACTGACCCCATCCCCATCCCTCACACCAATGCCATCATGCCAATCCCTAATAATCTGCCCATTTCTGCAACCGTGAGACGAGCCCTTTTGGTTCCCACCGTGAGTGGTTTGCCGGATCAATTCGGTGGTTAAGTCCACATCCATGCCTCGACTTGCCGACTTCCCAACCTTATTGTGGTATGACGATGGGGAGAGGCTGTGTCTTGAAGGGGATGGCCCCATGTTTATCGCACCTGCGCTGGAGCCCTGGAGGCTTTAAGTGCTGTTGGTGACGTCACTCCTGCGTCATCAAGTGCTGTAGGTGATGTGACCCCTGCGCCATCACCACCAATGTCGTCACTGGCAGTGCTGTTGGCATTTAAGTCCTCAGAAGTCACATCACTGCCAGATGCATCAGCAGCACGAGAAGCAGCAGCAGCAGCAGCAGCAGCAGCAGCAGCACAGGCAGCAGTGGCATCACCAGCGGCAGCAGCAGCAGCAGCAGCATTCGCACTAGCAAGAGCAGGAGCATCAGGAGTCGCCTCTCTGTTAGCAGCATCAGTAGAAGCAGCAGGATAAGCAGCAGCAGCAGCAGCAGCAGCTGTGGTATCAGAGGCAGCAGCGGCAGCAGCGGCATCACCAGCGGCAGTAGCAGCACCATTTACACTAGCAGAAGCAGGAGCATCAGGAGTCACACCTCCGTTAGCAGCATCAGCAGCAGCAGCATCACAATCACGCTGACTACCCCCAAGTGACCAGGGATCCTGTCCGCCTTCCTTTTCCTCCTCTTTTACCTCGGCCTTTTTCACCTCCTTCTCCTCACCATGTCCCTTTCGCCCTTCCACTCCTCCTCCCATCTCAAAGCCGCCTCTCTTCCCCTTCACCACTCCTCCCCCTATAGCAGAAATCCCTTTCACCCCTGCTCCCTGCACCAGTCTCTTTGAAAGGGGTAGATCTTACAACCCACTGTCACTCTCACCCTCCTTCTGCCTCTCCCTTTCCCTCTCCCTTCTTCTCGCCCTTCCCCTCTCCCTTTCCCTCTCTCTTTCCCTCTTCCTTCCCCTCTCCCTCTTCCTCTCCTCTCTTTCCTGCTGCTCCCCTTCCTCCACGTCTCCCCTTTCTCCTTCTGCTCTCTCCTTCGTCCCATCATCAACACCACCACCAACGCCAATAGCAGCACAACCACCATCCCCAGAACGGTCACCATTGCTGTCAGTACCAGCCCCCTTTGCCCGCTTTCCCATCATCCACCCCTCCGCCTTTCCCTCCTGCAAAGTATCGCCTGAATCCTTATCACTTTCCCCACCTAAATCCTTCACTCGTTCCCCACCCAATGCCCCAACCATCTCACCTCCTCCACTCTTCCCTCTCACTCTACCTCCCTCAACCTGATCATCCCCGTCGCTCTCACCACTGCTCTCAGCAACACTCTCAGCACCATTTCTGTCTGCTCTCCCGTCCCCTGCCCTCCATTTCACACTCCCCTTCTCTTCCTCCTCCACACCTCCCTTCCTTCCTCCTCCTCCTGCTTCTCTTCCTGCTCCTTCCCCTGCTTCCTCTCTTCTTCCCCCAACCCCTTTCCGTTCTCCTCCTCCTCCTCCTCCTCCTCCTCCAGCCTCCTTCCCCCACCCACCCCCTGTTCCCCCTCCTCCCGCCTTCCCGCCTCCCATCAGCAACTGCAGCCCTGTCAGTATTCCCCCCGTTCTCACTGCTGCTGCAGGCACACTCGCTCCCCCTGTTCCTGCCTTAGCTTCATCCATCTTTCCGCCACTCTCACTCCCATTCCCAGTCCCAATCCCCTCACACACACCCCTTGTTTCTGTCGCCCCTCCATCTTCCCCACCAGATTCACAGCGAGAAGACTTAAAACCCCTCACATCACGCTCCTGCTCCTCCTCTGCTTCCTCCTTTCTCTTCCCCCCTCTTTCTCCCTTCCCTCTATCTCCTTCCCCTGCCTTCTCTTTCATATTTCCCTCATGCCTCTCCTCCCTCCTGTCACTCTGCCCTCTACAATCCTGAACCCTCCATATCTCCACATCTCTGTCCCTCTCTTGAACCCCCTTCACCATCTCGTTTCCTCCCTCCTCCACATCCTTTTCTGCCTCCACACTCCCTCCCTCCTCTCTTTCCTCTGACCTCACTCGCTCTTCGTCCCTCCTCTCCTCCCCTCCTTTTCCCCGCCCTTCCTCGCCTGCTCTTAGCTGGAAACCTGGTGGTACTGAGTTTCGAGCTGTCTCAAACCCAGGAGGTCCGGCCGTTTCAAGACCAACTTCATACCCCTCTTGATGCTGCTGCTGCTGCTGGATCTTCTGCTGCTTCATATGCTGTTGCTCCCTCTGCTCACGTTGACCCTCTACCTCTTGCTCGTCCTCGCGCTTCTTGTACCTTCGACCCTCTGAGGCAGCCAGTCTAGCAGTGGTGGCTTCTGCTAAAGGTGTATTTTGAGGCGCCTCAAAATACACCTCTTGCTCGTCCTCACGCTTCTTGTACCTCCGACCCTCTGAGGTAGCCAGCCAAGCAGTGGTAGCTTCTGCCAAAGCCGCAACCCTCCTCCCCCACTCAGACCCCTGGGAAGAGGACTGCAGCAGATTCAACGCGGAGGAGAGCGGTGGAGGGGAGTGCGGGAGGATGGGAGGAGGTGAGTAAAGGTGGTGAGGAGGGGAGTGAGGGAGAGTGGGAAGAGGGGAGTGAGGAAGAGGAGGGGGACGCGGCACGGGGAGGGATGAAGGGAGAGGATGGAGAGGAGGCTGAAAAGGAGGCTGGGGAAAAGGAGGGACCTCAAACGACTGGGAAGGAGGGATCAGTAGTGGTGGTGGTAGTGATGATGATGATGATACTGGTGGTGGGCGTGGGGGGGATGGTGATGGTGGGGGTGTCGGCAGTTTCTTTGCTCGAATAGGCGGCAGAGAGTCAAAATCCATTGCTTCAAATAGCAGTTTCGAATCTTTCACCCCCTCGTTACCTTTCAACCCCTCGCGCCCTTGCAGCAGCCCTACATGCCCCTCGACCCCTTCCTCCTGTCCCTGTGTTTCGGCACCTGTTGCCTCTTTCCTCGCCCCTTTTCCCATGCTTCTCCTGTACTGGTCAGATGGCTTTCTGTCCTACTCGGCCTCTCCTCCTGCCCCCCACTCTCGTTCAACCCTCGTCCTCCAGTCTCCCGCATGAGTGGAGGCAGGAGGGACATGAAGAGGTGGAGAAGCAACAGCAGCAGCAGCAGCAGCAGCCACAGCAGGGAAAGCAGCAGCCGGATTGTTATCCCCACCACCAACTGCACCAGCACCCAGAGCATCATCAGCACCAGCAGTGACACCAGTATCGGCAGCGGCAGCATCAGCAGCAGCATCAGCATTAGAGGGCGCAGTTACAGAAGCAGGACCAGCAGTGGAAGAAGGGGAAGCAGGGGCGGCTTGAGCAGGTGAGAGCACAGAGGCACGGTTAGAGAGAGCAGAGGTCAGGTGGGGGCCTACAAAGGCATTAAGGAAGGAGGGGCAGTGTAGGGATTGCAGCACTAGGGTATACATGGGACGAGTTTGACTCGGACGAGTTTTCTTTGAACTCGTCAGAGTGTTGAAAAAACTCGGTAAAATGGTCGAGTTTCGAGTTGTCTTTGTGGCACAAAAAACTTGGCGAGTTTTCCTCGAATCGACTCGTGTGTGACAAAAAACTCGTCAAAACGAGTCAAGTAAAACTCGACTCGTCTTTTGCCCATGTATACACTAGGGTATGCAGACGTGTGCGAACGAGAGAGAGTGAGGAGGAAAACAGAACGTCGAGGGAGGGGAGGCTGAGATGAGTAGTTGTTGCTGTTGTTGTTGGTGCTGCTGCTGCTGCTGCTGATGCTGGTGCTGATGCTGCTGGTGGTACTGTTGTTGTTGCTGCAGCTGCAGTGGCTGCTGCTGTTGCTGTTGCTGGTGCTGCTGCTGCTGCTGTGGCTTGGATGGGTGTCTACCCAGCAGAGCCCCCAGGGAGATGGGAGGAGTGTGCATGTTGCGAATATCTGAGAACTGATGGAATGTGGGGAGACACGCAAGCAGGAGGAAGTGGGAGATTGAGCTTTCCATACCACATTAGAATGGGTACTTGAATACCGTGTGAGGGTAGGCTGTGGACAGTGGAGAGAATCGGAGAGGGAGAGGGGGTGAAAGAGGGCAACATCATTACACCATCACATGCATCACAACCATGTGAGCGTAGGCTGTGGAGAGAATCGGAGAGGAGGTGGCTGCAGTGTGTGCATGTCATTCAACCACCTCCATTCCACACACACACCACTGCATGTTTTTTGAGAATTCTAAAAAAAACATACCCCACACGTCATTGCGCACTGTACTCTACATACCATGAGGGTGGGCATGAGATGCCCACACTGCAGCCACCACCTCAGCATCACAACTGAAAACGGCCCCTTGGGTGCCTTGTCTTCCCCCGGATACGTCCAAAACAACCCACTCTTCTCCTCCTCCTCTCCTCCCCTCCTTGTCTCACGTCCATCCCCTTCTTACCGTCCATCCCTCCTCCCACATCCCCTGTATCCCCCATCACTGCGTTTCCAGCAGCGGCATTGGTGCCAAAAACAGCACCACCAACAGCAGCAGCACCACCAGCACCAGCAGCAGCAGCAGCTTCTGCTCTTCCTAATGCCATTTCCACTACTGTCCCTGCTCCAGAAACAGCAAGCATGGTCATTTTCTGTTGTGCCTGCAGCTGCTGATTCTGATCCTGCTACTGCTGCTGCTGATTCTGATCCTGCTGCTGCTGCTCTTGTGGCTGCTGCTTAGAAGCCCGCAGCCTCAGCTCTGGCTGTTGCTGTTGGGATGCTGGAGGCAACGAGTTGAACGGAAGGGACACCCCAAAGTGAAGCAGCACGGAAGATTCCCCTTTCAGCACCCGAGCCAGCGGCATAGGCTCGGCATCCGAGCCTTCCGGGTAGGCCAGGATATGATCCGACAGCTCCCTATAGGTGGTTTGGTTCCAGGGATGGAGGGACAATCGAAGATGGTGGTACAAGAAGAGGGTAGGGAAGGAAGCGGGAAAAGGAAACAAGAAATTATGCAGTAAGCTCAATCAATCATGCAGTTTGGATCAAAGAGGCAATGATCTTTGCAAGTCAGCTGTTCAGCTAGATCCAGCTCAATTGCCCTGCAGCAAGATATGACTGCAGCTTGCTGCAGGGCGATTGAGCTTACTGATTTTCATTCATATGGATTGACTCAATCGCCCTGCAGCAACCACGTGTAGAAAGTAGATTTTTGAGACGTCTTAAAAATCTACTTTCTACACGTGGTTTCTCTATTTCTAGTTCCTGTAGATTTCTGCTAGCGTGGAAGTTACCTTCTCGCTTACATCGAAGACTGATTCAATCGAGGCTCCAACCTGTCGCAGTTTAACACTTTCGCGCAACGAAGTGGTGTTACCACTTTTTTTACTTTTCGATCCTGGTTACCAACCCTCCCGAAGTTCCCCTTTTTGGTTCCGAAGGACTGGATCAGAGTCTCTGGCTCACCTCGAGATTTCACGCCATCTCCGCCTCGCATTGCATCCATCTGTCTGGTTAGCTCAGCTTTAGCGTAGAATACTTTAGTCAGCTTGTTCAGATCAGATGCTTAGTTTCAGGCTTGTTTGTACTGATGAAGGTTCGAAAGAACCGAAACTATTCTACTCAAATTCTGATTTTAAGTTGACGATTCTGTTCAAACTGGCTCTCTAAGACGTTCTAGCTCACAATAACTCCAGGCTCTCTCATTTTTCTCATTTCATGGAGTTTGCTTCGTCGTCCTAAGACACAGTTTAAGTTGATGGACATAAGACCTCCGCAGCCCACCTGTTTACCTTTGACAGCAGGTGGAGATACTTGAGGAATGCAGACGCATGGCCAAATTCAGTTCACCCCACCACAACCCCACACACATCTCACCTGTCCCAGGCCTCACCTGTCTGACCCTCGCCTTCCTGAGAGCGGAGGGCGGCAGGTGAAGGTACTTGAGGAAGGCGGACGCATGCCCCCTCCACCAGTTGTCACCTTGAAGTGCGGGGTATGTGGGAGTGGGGCAAGGGAGTGGGGCAGGGGAGTGGGGTAGGGGAGTGGGGCAGGGGAGTGGGGCAAGGGATGCAGGCATGCAATGCCCCTGTTATGCAGGCATGTGACCGCACTTGTGCTGCTGCCATAGGAAAATCCTCCCATTCCTTTCCTCCGCATCCACATCCAAGAACATGCAAAGGTGCACAGAAAAAGCATTTCAGGATATACAATACCTGCACTGCAGGCCTGGACCGTACATGTAGGTATGAAATTACCGTACCTGGACTGCTGTCATGGGAAGAACATTCCTTGCCTCCACACCCACGCGCATGCAAAGGTGAAAGGATACCGCCCCATATCCAATAATGGACCCTGCGCAATGGTGGAGTGAGAGTGGGTGAAAAGAAGGAGCGTTTTGGTCAGTTCAAATTCATGCAAAGGTGAAAGGATACCGGCCCATATCCAATAATGGACCCTGCGCAATGGTGGAGTGAGAGTGGATGAAAAGAAGGAGCGTTTTGGTCAGTTCAAATTCATGCAAAGGTGAAAGGATACCGGCCCATATCCAATAATGGACCCTGCACAATGGTGGAGTGAGAGTGGATGAAAAGAAGGAGCGTTTTGGTCAGTTCAAATTCATGCAAAGGTGAAAGGATACCGGCCCATATCCAATAATGGACCCTGCACAATGGTGGAGTGAGAGTGGATGAAAAGAAGGAGCGTTTTGGTCAGTTCAAATTCATGCAAAGGTGAAAGGATACCGGCCCATATCCAATAATGGACCCTGCGCAATGGTGGAGTGAGAGTGGATGAAAAGAAGGAGCGTTTTGGTCAGTTCAAATTCATGCAAAGGTGAAAGGATACCGGCCCATATCCAATAATGGACCCTGCGCAATGGTGGAGTGAGAGTGGATGAAAAGAAGGAGCGTTTTGGTCAGTTCAAATTCATGCAAAGGTGAAAGGATACCGGCCCATATCCAATAATGGACCCTGCGCAATGGTGGAGTGAGAGTGGATGAAAAGAAGGAGCGTTTTGGTCAGTTCAAATTCATGCAAAGGTGAAAGGATACCGGCCCATATCCAATAATGGACCCTGCGCAATGGTGGAGTGAGAGTGGATGAAAAGAAGGAGCGTTTTGGTCAGTTCAAATTCATGCAAAGGTGAAAGGATACCGGCCCATATCCAATAATGGACCCTGTGCAACGGTGGAGTGAGAGTGGATGAAAAGAAGGAGCGTTTTGGTCAGTTCAAATTCATGCAAAGGTGAAAGGATACCGGCCCATATCCAATAATGGACCCTGCGCAACGGTGGAGTGAGAGTGGATGAAAAGAAGGAGCGTTTTGGTCAATTCAAATTCATGCAAAGGTGAAAGGATACCGGCCCATATCCAATAATGGACCCTGCGCAACGTTGGAGTGAGAGTGGATGAAAAGAAGGAGCGTTTTGGTCAGTTCAAATTCATGCAAAGGTGAAAGGATACCGGCCCATATCCAATAATGGACCCTGCGCAATGGTGGAGTGAGAGTGGATGAAAAGAAGGAGCGTTTTGGTCAGTTCAAATTCATGCAAAGGTGAAAGGATACCGGCCCATATCCAATAATGGACCCTGCACAATGGTGGAGTGAGAGTGGATGAAAAGAAGGAGCGTTTTGGTCAGTTCAAATTCATGCAAAGGTGAAAGGATACCGGCCCATATCCAATAATGGACCCTGCACAATGGTGGAGTGAGAGTGGATGAAAAGAAGGAGCGTTTTGGTCAGTTCAAATTCATGCAAAGGTGAAAGGATACCGGCCCATATCCAATAATGGACCCTGCGCAATGGTGGAGTGAGAGTGGATGAAAAGAAGGAGCGTTTTGGTCAGTTCAAATTCATGCAAAGGTGAAAGGATACCGGCCCATATCCAATAATGGACCCTGCGCAATGGTGGAGTGAGAGTGGATGAAAAGAAGGAGCGTTTTGGTCAGTTCAAATTCATGCAAAGGTGAAAGGATACCGGCCCATATCCAATAATGGACCCTGCGCAATGGTGGAGTGAGAGTGGATGAAAAGAAGGAGCGTTTTGGTCAGTTCAAATTCATGCAAAGGTGAAAGGATACCGGCCCATATCCAATAATGGACCCTGCGCAATGGTGGAGTGAGAGTGGATGAAAAGAAGGAGCGTTTTGGTCAGTTCAAATTCATGCAAAGGTGAAAGGATACCGGCCCATATCCAATAATGGACCCTGCGCAACGGTGGAGTGAGAGTGGATGAAAAGAAGGAGCGTTTTGGTCAATTCAAATTCATGCAAAGGTGAAAGGATACCGGCCCATATCCAATAATGGACCCTGCGCAACGTTGGAGTGAGAGTGGATGAAAAGAAGGAGCGTTTTGGTCAGTTCAAATTCATGCAAAGGTGAAAGGATACCGGCCCATATCCAATAATGGACCCTGCGCAATGGTGGAGTGAGAGTGGATGAAAAGAAGGAGCGTTTTGGTCAGTTCAAATTCATGCAAAGGTGAAAGGATACCGGCCCATATCCAATAATGGACCCTGCACAATGGTGGAGTGAGAGTGGATGAAAAGAAGGAGCGTTTTGGTCAGTTCAAATTCATGCAAAGGTGAAAGGATACCGGCCCATATCCAATAATGGACCCTGCGCAATGGTGGAGTGAGAGTGGATGAAAAGAAGGAGCGTTTTGGTCAGTTCAAATTCATGCAAAGGTGAAAGGATACCGGCCCATATCCAATAATGGACCCTGCGCAATGGTGGAGTGAGAGTGGATGAAAAGAAGGAGCGTTTTGGTCAGTTCAAATTCATGCAAAGGTGAAAGGATACCGGCCCATATCCAATAATGGACCCTGCGCAATGGTGGAGTGAGAGTGGATGAAAAGAAGGAGCGTTTTGGTCAGTTCAAATTCATGCAAAGGTGAAAGGATACCGGCCCATATCCAATAATGGACCCTGCGCAATGGTGGAGTGAGAGTGGATGAAAAGAAGGAGCGTTTTGGTCAGTTCAAATTCATGCAAAGGTGAAAGGATACCGGCCCATATCCAATAATGGACCCTGCGCAATGGTGGAGTGAGAGTGGATGAAAAGAAGGAGCGTTTTGGTCAGTTCAAATTCATGCAAAGGTGAAAGGATACCGGCCCATATCCAATAATGGACCCTGTGCAACGGTGGAGTGAGAGTGGATGAAAAGAAGGAGCGTTTTGGTCAGTTCAAATTCATGCAAAGGTGAAAGGATACCGGCCCATATCCAATAATGGACCCTGCGCAACGGTGGAGTGAGAGTGGATGAAAAGAAGGAGCGTTTTGGTCAGTTCAAATTCATGCAAAGGTGAAAGGATACCGGCCCATATCCAATAATGGACCCTGCACAATGGTGGAGTGAGAGTGGATGAAAAGAAGGAGCGTTTTGGTCAGTTCAAATTCATGCAAAGGTGAAAGGATACCGGCCCATATCCAATAATGGACCCTGCGCAATGGTGGAGTGAGAGTGGATGAAAAGAAGGAGCGTTTTGGTCAGTTCAAATTCATGCAAAGGTGAAAGGATACCGGCCCATATCCAATAATGGACCCTGCGCAATGGTGGAGTGAGAGTGGATGAAAAGAAGGAGCGTTTTGGTCAGTTCAAATTCATGCAAAGGTGAAAGGATACCGGCCCATATCCAATAATGGACCCTGCGCAATGGTGGAGTGAGAGTGGATGAAAAGAAGGAGCGTTTTGGTCAGTTCAAATTCATGCAAAGGTGAAAGGATACCGGCCCATATCCAATAATGGACCCTGCGCAATGGTGGAGTGAGAGTGGATGAAAAGAAGGAGCGTTTTGGTCAGTTCAAATTCATGCAAAGGTGAAAGGATACCGGCCCATATCCAATAATGGACCCTGCGCAATGGTGGAGTGAGAGTGGATGAAAAGAAGGAGCGTTTTGGTCAGTTCAAATTCATGCAAAGGTGAAAGGATACCGGCCCATATCCAATAATGGACCCTGTGCAACGGTGGAGTGAGAGTGGATGAAAAGAAGGAGCGTTTTGGTCAGTTCAAATTCATGCAAAGGTGAAAGGATACCGGCCCATATCCAATAATGGACCCTGCGCAACGGTGGAGTGAGAGTGGATGAAAAGAAGGAGCGTTTTGGTCAATTCAAATTCATGCAAAGGTGAAAGGATACCGGCCCATATCCAATAATGGACCCTGCGCAACGTTGGAGTGAGAGTGGATGAAAAGAAGGAGCGTTTTGGTCAGTTCAAATTCATGCAAAGGTGAAAGGATACCGGCCCATATCCAATAATGGACCCTGCGCAACGGTGGAGTGAGAGTGGATGAAAAGAAGGGGCGTTTTGGTCAGTTCAAATTCATGCAAAGGTGAAAGGATACCGGCCCATATCCAATAATGGACCCTGCGCAACGGTGGAGTGAGAGTGGATGAAAAGAAGGAGCGTTTTGGTCAGTTCAAATTCATGCAAAGGTGAAAGGATACCGACCCATATCCAATAATGGACCCTGCACAACGGTGGAGTGAGAGTGGATCAAGAGAGGGGGTTCAGATTCAGATCTATGCACATGTGATTAGCCAATGCCCAATAAGGGGCCCTGCGCAATGGAGGAGTGAGAGTGAAGGGGAGGTAGAGCTGGAGAGATAAAGTGATGAATTAAGGAGGAGGAGGAGGAGGGAAACTTACAAACACCTAGAAACCTGCATGCAACCAAGAACTAGCACGTGCAACCAACCAAGCACCCACCATGTAAGCAGCTATAGCAAGGGGCAGCAGAGCCGCAGCTTCTTTAACGAGGCTTATCGGAACAGAGGCAGGGTGAGAGGGGAATGGAATGGACCCCTCTCCGCCAGCCTGTCACACACAACACAACCAAGAACATATACCACACGGGGCCAAGCACCCACCGTATAGGCAGCAATAGCAAGGGGCAGCAGAGCCGCAGCTTCCTCAATGAGGGTTATCGGCACAGAGGCAGAGGGGGAGGGGAAGGGACCCCCCTCTGCTAACCTGTCGCTGCTGCTGCTCCCCTCGCTTCCAACCCTGCTAACCCCACGCCCGCTCCTTGCATTGCTTCTGTCAACGCCCCTCATGCTGCTGCCTGCAGTGCTGCTGGTGGCAGTATTAGAGTTGAGAGAATCAAAGACAGAGGGTGCGGTGGTGGTGGTGGAGGAGAGAGGGGTGGCAGCGGTGGTGGATGGTAGTGTGTTGAGATGGGTGGGGTGGGAAAAGGAGGAGGAGGAGGAGAGGGGGGCATCGACAGCTGGCGGCGGGCGATTGGCTTGGAGAAGGGCGAGGCATGCGTGCACAGAACAGAAGACAGAGCGGTTGGTTTGAGTAGCGCATGGGGGGTTCCTGCGACAAGTGGCGGAGCAGATTGGCTTGGACGAGGCTTGTATGGCATGGCATGGCATGGCATGGCATGTCATGGCTTGATATGGCATGATATTGCGTGGTCAAACCATCCCCATTACCTGCGAGCAGCTCCAGGTGACTGGCCCCACAGCTCTGTACGCCATCCCATCCCCCAGCAGCAATGCCCCACCATGCCTAGCTAGCAACAACCATACCATCCCATCACCGCGTGCGATTCACCATCAATGGTAGCCCCACCTGCGAGCAGCTCTATATGACTGGCCCCCGCAGCCCTGTACGCCATCACACCCCCCAGCAACACTGCCACTCTTCCATCCCGTTCATTGCCACTCACCCTCCCATCATTGGAATTCACCATCAGCCCATCACCCCACCTGCGAGCAGCTCCAGGTGACTGGCCCCCACAGCTCTGTACGCCATCACATCCCCCAGCAGCGATGCCACTATGCCTAGCACCTGTATCTGCTACCATCAGCCATCCCATCACCTGCCATTACCCATCACCCACCTGCGAGCAGCTCCAGGTGACTGGCCCCCACAGCTCTGTACGCCATCACATCCCCCAGCAGCGATGCCACTATGCCTGGCACCTGTATCTGCTACCATCAGCCATCCCATCACCTGCCATTACCCATCACCCACCTGCGAGCAGCTCCAGGTGACTGGCCCCCACGGCTCTGTATGCCATCACATCCCCCAGTAGTGACGCCACTATGTCCACCTCATCGTCTACCTCGTCCCTAGGGCAAAAGGAGAGGCGGATATACGAAGCAGAGCCAAGGAATCCTGGGTCCAGCCAGTCACACCGTCCCCTGGCAGCAATGGCATCATGTCCACCTCGTTGTCTACCTCGTCCCTGCGGAGGAGGGATGATGCGAGGAGGAGAAAGGGAGAATAATGACGAGGAGAGCAGGAGGGGCCAGCAAGGAGAGGATGAAGGTTCCCGTCACGTTGTTCCCCATCAGCGATGCCACTATGTCAACCTCGTTGTCTACCTCGTCTCTGCGGCAAGAGGGATGGGGGTGAGAGAGAGGGAAGAGAGGGAAGAGGCGGGGAAACGGATTCTCATTGGCCATCACATCCCCCAGCAGCGATGCCTCTATATCCACCTCGCCGTCTGCCTCGTCCCTGGCAAGGGAGGAGAGGGAGAAGCAGAGCAGGGCAGAGGAATTATGGGTCCAGCCAGCCATCACATCCCCCAGCAGCGATGCCACTATGTCCACCTCGTCGTCCACCTCATCGTCCACCTCGTCCCTGGGGCAAGAGGAGAGGGGGAAGCGGAGCAGAGAGGGGGAATTATGGGTCCAGCCAGCCATCACATCTCCCAGCAGCGAGAGAGGCTACCTTGTCCCTGGGGAGAGAGGGATGATGGGAGGAGGGGGAAGGGAGGAGAATGCTGAGGAGAGGAGAGCAGGAGAGAGACGCAAGCAGAGGACTAAGGGTTCTCCAGCAGCAATGCCAATATGTCCACCGGACCACCATCTACCTCGTCCCTGAGGCATCTTATCTGAGGCAACGTCCCTGAGGCATCTTATCTGAGGCAACGTCCCTGAGGCAACTTATCTAAGGCAACGTCCCTGAGGCAACTTATCTGAGGCAACGTCCCTGAGGCAACTTATCTGAGGCAACGTCCCTGAGGCATCTTATCTGAGGCAACGTCCCTGAGGCAAATTATCTGAGGCAACGTCCCTGAGGCAACTTATCTGAGGCAACGTCCCTGAGGCAACTTATTTGAGGCAACGTCCCTGAGGCATCTTATCTGAGGCAACGTCCCTGAGGCAACTTATCTGAGGCAACGTCCCTGAGGCAACTTATCTGAGGCAACGTCCCTGAGGCATCTTATCTGAGGCAACGTCCCTGAGGCATCTTATCTGAGGCAACGACCCTGAGGCAACTTATCTGAGGCAACGTCCCTGAGGCAACTTATCTTAGGCAACGTCCCTGAGGCAACTTATCTGAGGCAACGTCCTTGAGGCAACTTATCTGAGGCAACGTCCCTGAGGCATCTTATCTGAGTCAACGTCCCTGAGGCAACTTATCTGAGGCAACGTCCCTGAGGCAACTTATCTGAGGCAACGTCCCTGAGGCCTCTTATCTGAGGCAACGTCCCTGAGGCAACTTATCTGAGGCAACGTCCCTGAGGCAACTTATCTGAGGCAACGTCCCTGAGGCAACTTATCTGAGGCAACGTCCCTGAGGCAACTTATCTGAGGCAACGTCCCTGAGGCAACTTATCTGAGGCAACGTCCCTGAGGCATCTTATCTGAGGCAACGTCCCTGAGGCATCTTATCCGAGGCAACGTCCCTGAGGCATCTTATCTGAGGCAACGTCCCTGAGGCATCTTATCTGAGGCAACGTCCCTGAGGCATCTTATCCGAGGCAACGTCCTTGAGGCATCTTATCTGAGGAAACGTCCCTGAGGTAACTTATCTGAGGCAACGTCCCTGAGGCATCTTATCTTAGGCAACGTCCCTGAGGCATCTTATCTGAGGCAACGTCCCTGAGGCATCTTATCTGAGGCAACGTCCCTGAGGCATCTTATCTGAGGCAACGTCCCTGAGGCATCTTATCCGAGGCAACGTCCCTGGGGCATCTTATCTGAGGCAACGTCCATGAGGCATCTTATCTGAGGCAACGTCCCTGAGGCATCTTATCTGAGGCAACGTCCCTGAGGCATCTTATCTGAGTAAACGTCCCTGAGGCAACTTATCTGAGGCAACGTCCCTGAGGCAACTTATCTGAGGCAACGTCCCTGAGGCCTCTTATCTGAGGCAACGTCCCTGAGGCATCTTATCTGAGGCAACGTCCCTGAGGCATCTTATCTGAGGCAACGTCCCTGAGGCAACTTATCTGAGGCAACGTCCCTGAGGCAACTTATCTGAGGCAACGTCCCTGAGGCAACTTATCTGAGGCAACGTCCCTGAGGCATCTTATCTTAGGCAACGTCCCTGAGGCAACTTATCTTAGGCAACGTCCCTGAGGCAACTTATCTGAGGCAACGTCCCTGAGGCAACTTATCTGAGGCAACGTCCCTGAGGCAACTTATCTGAGGCAACGTCCCTGACGCATCTTATCTGAGGCAACGTCCCTGAGGCATCTTATCCGAGGTAACGTCCCTGAGGCATCTTATCTGAGGCAACGTCCCTGAGGCATCTTATCTGAGGCAACGTCCCTGAGGCATCTTTTCCGAGGCAACGTCCTTGAGGCATCTTATCTGAGGAAACGTCCCTGAGGTAACTTATCTGAGGCAACGTCCCTGAGGCATCTTATCTTAGGCAACGTCCCTGAGGCATCTTATCTGAGGCAACGTCCCTGAGGCATCTTATCTGAGGCAACGTCCCTGAGGCATCTTATCTGAGGCAACGTCCCTGAGGCATCTTATACGAGGCAACGTCCCTGAGGCATCTTATCTGAGGCAACGTCCATGAGGCATCGTATCTGAGGCAACGTCCCTGAGGCATCTTATCTGAGGCAACGTCCCTGAGGCATCTTATACGAGGCAACGTCCCTGAGGCATCTTATCTGAGGCAACGTCCCTGAGGCATCTTATCTGAGTCAACGTCCCTGAGGCAACTTATCTGAGGCAACGTCCCTGAGGCAACTTATCTGAGGCAACGTCCCTGAGGCCTCTTATCTGAGGCAACGTCCCTGAGGCATCTTATCTGAGGCAACGTCCCTGAGGCATCTTATCTGAGGCAACGTCCCTGAGGCAACTTATCTGAGGCAACGTCCCTGAGGCAACTTATCTGAGGCAACGTCCCTGAGGCAACTTATCTGAGGCAACGTCCCTGAGGCATCTTATCTTAGGCAACGTCCCTGAGGAAACTTATCTTAGGCAACGTCCCTGAGGCAACTTATCTGAGGCAACGTCCCTGAGGCAACTTATCTGAGGCAACGTCCCTGAGGCAACTTATCTGAGGCAACGTCCCTGAGGCATCTTATCTGAGGCAACGTCCCTGAGGCATCTTATCCGAGGTAACGTCCCTGAGGCATCTTATCTGAGGCAACGTCCCTGAGGCATCTTATCTGAGGCAACGTCCCTGAGGCATCTTTTCCGAGGCAACGTCCTTGAGGCATCTTATCTGAGGAAACGTCCCTGAGGTAACTTATCTGAGGCAACGTCCCTGAGGCATCTTATCTTAGGCAACGTCCCTGAGGCATCTTATCTGAGGCAACGTCCCTGAGGCATCTTATCTGAGGCAACGTCCCTGAGGCATCTTATCTGAGGCAACGTCCCTGAGGCATCTTATCCGAGGCAACGTCCCTGAGGCATCTTATCTGAGGCAACGTCCATGAGGCATCTTATCTGAGGCAACGTCCCTGAGGCATCTTATCTGAGGCAACGTCCCTGAGGCAACTTATCTGAGGCAACGTCCCTGAGGCAAATTATCTGAGGCAACGTCCATGAGGCATCTTATCTTAGGCAACGTCCCTGAGGCAACTTATCTTAGGCAACGTCCCTGAGGCAACTTATCTGAGGCAACGTCCCTGAGGCAACTTATCTGAGGCAACGTCCCTGAGGCATCTTATCTGAGTCAACGTCCCTGAGGCAACTTATCTGAGGCAACGTCCCTGAGGCAACTTATCTGAGGCAACGTCCCTGCGGCCTCTTATCTGAGGCAACGTCCCTGAGGCAACTTATCTGAGGCAACGTCCCTGAGGCAACTTATCTGAGGCAACGTCCCTGAGGCATCTTATCTGAGGCAACGTCCCTGAGGCAACTTACCTGAGGCAACGTCCCTGAGGCATCTTATCTGAGGCAACGTCCCTGAGGCATCTTATCCGAGGCAACGTCCCTGAGGCATCTTATCTGAGGCAACGTCCCTGAGGCATCTTATCTGAGGCAACGTCCCTGAGGCATCTTATCCGAGGCAACGTCCTTGAGGCATCTTATCTGAGGAAACGTCCCTGAGGTAACTTATCTGAGGCAACGTCCTTGAGGCATCTTATCTTAGGTAACGTCCCTGAGGCATCTTATCTGAAGCAACGTCCCTGAGGCATCTTATCTGAGGCAACGTCCCTGAGGCATCTTATCTGAGGCAACGTCCCTGAGGCATCTTATCCGAGGCAACGTCCCTGAGGCATCTTATCTGAGGCAACGTCCATGAGGCATCTTATCTGAGGCAACGTCCCTGAGGCATCTTATCTGAGGCAACGTCCCTGAGGCATCTTATCTGAGTCAACGTCCCTGAGGCAACTTATCTGAGGCAACGTCCCTGAGGCAACTTATCTGAGGCAACGTCCCTGAGGCCTCTTATCTGAGGCAACGTCCCTGAGGCATCTTATCTGAGGCAACGTCCCTGAGGCATCTTATCTGAGGCAACGTCCCTGAGGCAACTTATCTGAGGCAACGTCCATGAGGCATCTTATCTGAGTCAACGTCCCTGAGGCATCTTATCTGAGGCAACGTCCCTGAGGCATCTTATCCGAGGCAACGACCCTGAGGCAACTTATCTGAGGCAACGTCCCTGAGGCAACTTATCTGAGGCAACGTCCCTGAGGCATCTTATCTGAGTCAACGTCCCTGAGGCAACTTATCTGAGGCAACGTCCCTGAGGCAACTTATCTGAGGCAACGTCCCTGAGGCCTCTTATCTGAGGCAACGTCCCTGAGGCATCTTATCTGAGGCAACGTCCCTGAGGCATCTTATCTGAGGCAACGTCCCTGGGGCAACTTATCTGAGGCAACGTCCCTGAGGCAACTTATCTGAGGCAACGTCCCTGAGGCAACTTATCTGAGGCAACGTCCCTGAGGCATCTTATCTGAGGCAACGTCCCTGAGGCAACTTATCTGAGGCAACGTCCCTGAGGCAACTTATCTGAGGCAACGTCCCTGAGGCAACTTATCTGAGGCAACGTCCTTGAGGCATCTTATCTGAGGCAACGTCCCTGAGGCAAATTTTCTGAGGCAACGTCCATGAGGCATCTTATCTTAGGCAACGTCCCTCAGGCAACTTATCTTAAGCAACGTCCCTTAGGCAACTTATCTGAGGCAACGTCCCTGAGGCAACTTATCTGAGGCAACGTCCCTGAGGCATCTTATCTGAGTCAACGTCCCTGAGGCAACTTATCTGAGGCAACGTCCCTGAGGCAACTTATCTGAGGCAACGTCCCTGCGGCCTCTTATCTGAGGCAACGTCCCTAAGGCAACTTATCTGAGGCAACGTCCCTGAGGCAACTTATCTGAGGCAACGTCCCTGAGGCAACTTATCTGAGGCAACGTCCCTGAGGCAACTTATCTGAGGCAACGTCTCTGAGGCATCTTATCTGAGGCAACGTCCCTGAGGCATCTTATCCGAGGCAACGTCCCTGAGGCATCTTATCTGAGGCAACGTCCCTGAGGCATCTTATCTGAGGCAACGTCCCTGAGGCATCTTATCCGAGGCAACGTCCTTGAGGCATCTTATCTGAGGAAACGTCCCTGAGGTAACTTATCTGAGGCAACGTCCCTGAGGCATCTTATCTTAGGCAACGTCCCTGAGACATCTTATCTGAGGCAACGTCCCTGAGGCATCTTTTCTTAGGCAACGTCCCTGAGGCATCTTATCTGAGGCAACGTCCCTGAGGCAACTTATCTGAGGCAACGTCCCTGAGGCAACTTATCTGAGGCAACGTCCCTGAGGCAACTTATCTGAGGCAACGTCCCTGAGGCAACTTATCTGAGGCAACGTCCCTGAGTCATCTTATCTGAGGCAACGTCCCTGAGGCATCTTATCTGAGGCAACGTCCCTGAGGCAACGTCCATGAGGCAACGTCCCTGGGAGAGCGGGAAGACAGGGGCAAGAGGCAGAAAGAAGGGGGTTGGGCTGAGGCATTTTCAATCACCATCACCATCCTTCAGCAGCGATAACATGGCCCCATGCGGCACAGGATCTCCCCAATGCTCCAGTTGAACATCTCCCTGTGGTGTACAGTAGAATATCTGATAAGGATACTGTACACCAATTCCCTATACATTTACTAGTAACGTGCGTACCACGGTCTAGCCCGCCCCGTGCAGCACAGGATCTCCCGGATGCTCCAGTTGAACCTCTCCCTGTGATCTACACTGCAGCATATATAACTGACGTAACACTCCTCTATATATACAGTGAGTGTTCACGTACGTACCAAGGTCTAGCACGCCCCATGCAACAAAGTATTTCTCGGATGCTCCAGTTGAACATCTCCTTGTAGTGCGCCCGCCATGCCACGTGCGTGGTGTGTACAGGAATACTTCCCTATACATTTAGTAACAACGTTCGTACTACGGCCTAGCGCGCCCCATGCAGCACAAAATCTCATGGATGCTCCAGTTGAACATCTCCCTGTGGTCTACACTGTAGCATATATAACTGATGTAACACTTCTCTATATATACAGTGAGTGTTCACGTACGTACCACGGTCTAGCACGCCCCATGCAACACAGAATCTCCCTGATGCTCCAGTTGAACATCTCCCTGTGGTCTACACTACAACATATATTCCTGATGTAACACTTTTCTATATATACAGTGAGTGTTCACGTACGTACCACGGTCTAGCACGCCCCATGCTACACAGAATTTCCCTGATGCTCCAGTTGAACATCTCCCGGTAGTGTGCCCGCCATGCGCAGTCCCGCATGGCGTAGAACGACCGCCGGATCAGCACGTCGCTGCCAGCTAAGCACTGCCCACCGACGGCAATCAAGCTGGCTGTGAGGACGAAGAGAGCCAGTGGGAGGAGGTAGGTCCAGGGGCCTTGGTAACCCACTGGGATGGGAAGCAAGGGAGAAGCAGGGAAAGAGTGGAGAGTAAGGGGAGAATGGGGGGCGGTAGTAGGGACAGGGAGGAGAGTGGGGGGAGGGAAACGGTTGGTGGGAGAAAATCAGTTCAGGGGCCTTGGTAGGCATGGCATGTGGTAAATAAAAGGAGGGAACGCATGAGTGGAACAGAAAGGAGACAGGGATCAGGTGAGAGAAAGCAAGAGTCGTACGCTTCAAAGGGCACAAGGGTAGTTGGGAGTCCAGCATCGATTGGACGATGGCGACAGTGAGGAAGAGAGCTGCACCCGTTTGTAACAGGGTTACCACGTGGCCCACCCTGCTCCACCGCACCCACGCACGGTAGCGACGCTGATGACAGGCAAGAATGGGGGACAGAATGGGGGACACACGTTTGTAACAAGGTTACCACATGGGCCATCGTGCTCCTCCTTGCCCATGCATGCACAGTCACGACCCTGAATGCACGAGCATGGTAGTGGCACAGGTTGGGTGGGTGGGTGGGGGAGGGAGGGAACAAGGGCGGGGGGGAGGGTGAGAGAGAGCTGAGGACCCACACATACATGAGTCACCCTGATGCTCCTCCTTGCCCACGCACAGTAGCGACCCTGAACGCACAAACATGGAAGTGGCACAGGACGGGTGGGTCGGTGGGGGAGTGTAACGGATCTAGTAAGAAAAAGGGCATTTACCCATATAATAATAGCTTCTAGTACAACCAGAGAGTAGCACCTCCTGGAAACGACTAAGTCTGAGAGTTTCTGGGAAAATGCGGTAACAAATCTTGGAGGGTGAGTTGAGGAGAAGAGAATCCTATTTCCCAATTGATAAGTTGGGAGTAGGAAATGAAGAATGAGCCAAGAGGCTTCAGACCCCTCTCCTAGACCCCCTTGGGGTGCAGCCACCTTCCCCATGGCAAGGAGGGGTGCACTCCCTTGGGCCTTGCCCATGTGGCTATAAACAAGATTCTCAACCAATAATATTATAGATAGGAAATGCACAGCATTCACAAACCTGTGTTTGATGTTTATTGGTTGTGTTTGGAGTGAGCGGCGGAAATTTTATCGACTCACTCTTGGGGTTGTGTTCTGATTGGTTGAATTAGTGATGAGGTGAACTTACGTGGGTTATGTTTGAACCAGCTCAAACCAATTGCGTAAGTTTGACTCAGCAGCAATTTCGATTGGTTGGTTTCCCAGTCGATCCTGAATTGCCCGTAAGTCTCGCTTTCCCAACCAACCAGATTTCCCCACATTTCTCCCTCAGCTGGTTCGACGTATCAAGACCAGATGGGGTTGGGTACGGATGTTACAGGGAGGGAACGATAGAGGGGTAGGGGGAGGGCGGAGGACCCATAAGCACCTGTCGCTCGGACTTGTTGGCGCTGCCAGACAGTGAGGTGGACAGCCTGATCGCTTGGAGCTCGTCACCATCCGAGTCCGCGTCACTCCCCCAGCCTTTGATCCCCGGGTCTCCTCCATTTCCCCCTGCTTGATTACTTTCTCATCACAAAAATCAAGTGGCGGGAAACCTCTCATGAAGTGTGTTTGTTGTGTTTTTGCATATGATTTGAAGATGTAGGGGTTGGTACTTTTTTAGAAGAAAGTATCGAACTTTTTCCAGATGATATGTCAGATGCTTTGCCAATGATCTGTGTGTTTTTAAACAGTTTGGAAATGGTTGTGAGGAACTTCTCATTGTGTTTGTGATAACTTGTTTAAATCATACTATGTGCTTCAATTTTGGACTTGGATAAGGTTTGCAATTAATTTTTATATGCATATAATAATCTTGGAAAGGGTTTATGGGGTATTATAAATAAACATAATCAGAGTTTGAAAAACCCAGTTGGTAGTTTCTTTCGCACTTTCCATAAATACACACTAAGAGGGAAGGCATGTACGTGTAAATCATAATATTAGCTTGAAAAGGTTTACAACACACTAGATGCCTACTTATTCTCTGGTTCTTAGCTACTCTACTAATCATCCTTGGTTAATGACACCTGCGCTACTACTACTCACTATCAACCCTAGGTCCATACTCTGCTTGGGTCTTCCTAGCTGGCTACTCCCCGCTGCATCCTCCCTTCTGTGCTATTATTTCTTAACCCCGCCCCCTTGATGTCAATCCTTGCTTCGCCCTCATGTTGTTACTACTGTGCTCCCCTCCCTGCTGTTACTCCTTCGCACCTCTCCTTGCTGATACTCCTCTCCTCCCTTCCTCCCTTCCCTGCTGTGGTTCCCCTGCTCCCCTCCCTGCTGTGACTCCTCTCCTCCCTTCCCTGCTGTGGTTACCCTGCTCCCCTCTCTGCTGTGGTTCCTCTCCTCCCTTCCCTGCTATGGTTCCTCTGCCCCCCTCCCTGCTGTGGTTCCTCTCCTCCCTTCCCTGCTGTGGTTCCCATGCTCCCCTCCCTGCTATGGTTCCTCTCCTTCCTTCCCTGCTGTGGTTCCTCTGCTCCTCTCCCTACTGTGGTTCTTCTCCTCCCCTCCCTGCTGTGGTTCCCCTGCTCCCCTCCCTGCTGTGACTCCTCTCCTCCCTTCCCTGCTGTGGTTCACCTGCTCCCTTCCCTGCTGTGGTTCCTCTCCTCCCTTCCCTGCTGTGGTTCCCCTGCTCCTCTCCCTGCTGTGGTTCCTCTCCTCCCCTCCCTGCTGTGGTTCCTCTCCTCCCCTCCATGCTGTGGTTCCTCTCCTCCCTTCCCTGCTGTGGTTCCCACGCTCCCCTCCCTGCTATGGTTCCTCTCCTCTCTTCCCTGCTGTGGTTCCCCTGCTCCTCTCCCTGATGTGGTTCCTCTCCTCCCCTCCCTTCTGTGGTTCCTCTCCTCCCCTCCATGCTGTGGTTCCTCTCCTCCCCTGCTGTGGTTCCCACGCTCCCCTCCCTGCTATGGTTCCTCTCCTCCCTTCCCTGCTGTGGTTCCCCTGCTCCTCTCCCTGCTGTGGTTCCTCTCCTCCCCTCCCTGCTGTGCTTCCTCTCCTCCCCTCCATGCTGTGGTTCCTCTCCTCCCTTCCCTGCTGTGGTTCCCACGCTCCCCTCCCTGCTATGGTTCCTCTCCTCCCTTCCCTGCTGTGGTTCCCCTGCTCCTCTCCTTGCTGTGGTTCCTCTCCTCCCCTCCCTGCTATGGTTCCTCTCCTCCCTTCCCTGCTGTGGTTCCCCTGCTCCTCTCCCTGCTGTGGTTCCTCTCCTCCCCTCCCTGCTGTGGTTCCTCTCCTCCCCTCCATGCTGTGGTTCCTCTCCTCCCTTCCCTGCTGTGGTTCCCCTGCTCCTCTCCCTGCTGTGGTTCCTCTCCTCCCCTCCCTGCTGTGGTTCCTCTCCTCCCCTCCATGCTGTGGTTCCTCTCCTCCCTTCCTTGCTGTGGTTCCCACGCTCCCCTCCCTGCTATGGTTCCTCTCCTCCCTTCCCTGCTGTGGTTCACCTGCTCCCTTCCCTGCTGTGGTTCCTCTCCTCCCTTCCCTGCTGTGGTTCCCCTGCTCCTCTCCCTTCTGTGGTTCCTCTCCTCCCCTCCCTGCTGTGGTTCCTCTCCTCCCCTCCATGCTGTGGTTCCTCTCCTCCCTTCCCTGCTGTGGTTCCCACGCTCCCCTCCCTGCTATGGTTCTTTCCTCCCTTCCCTGCTGTGGTTCCCCTGCTCCTCTCCTTGCTGTGGTTCCTCTCCTCCCCTCCCTGCTATGGTTCCTCTCCTCCCTTCCCTGCTGTGGTTCCCCTGCTCCTCTCCCTGCTGTGGTTCCTCTCCTCCCCTCCCTGCTGTGGTTCCTCTCCTCCCCTCCATGCTGTGGTTCCTCTCCTCCCTTCCCTGCTGTGGTTCCCCTGCTCCTCTCCCTGCTGTGGTTCCTCTCCTCCCCTCCCTGCTGTGGTTCCTCTCCTCCCCTCCATGCTGTGGTTCCTCTCCTCCCTTCCTTGCTGTGGTTCCCACGCTCCCCTCCCTGCTATGGTTCCTCTCCTCCCTTCCCTGCTGTGGTTCACCTGCTCCCTTCCCTGCTGTGGTTCCTCTCCTCCCTTCCCTGCTGTGGTTCCCCTGCTCCTCTCCCTTCTGTGGTTCCTCTCCTCCCCTCCCTGCTGTGGTTCCTCTCCTCCCCTCCATGCTGTGGTTCCTCTCCTCCCTTCCCTGCTGTGGTTCCCACGCTCCCCTCCCTGCTATGGTTCCTCTCCTCCCTTCCCTGCTGTGGTTCCCCTGCTCCTCTCCCTGGTGTGGTTCCTCTCCTCCCCTCCCTGCTGTGGTTCCTCTCCTCCCCTCCATGCTGTGGTTCCTCTCCTCCCTTCCCTGCTGTGGTTCCCACGCTCCCCTCCCTGCTATGGTTCCTCTCCTCCCTTCCCTGCTGTGGTTCACCTGCTCCCTTCCCTGCTGTGGTTCCTCTCCTCCCGTCCCGGATGTGGTTCCCCTGCTCCTCTCCCTTCTGTGGTTCCTCTCCTCCCCTCCCTGCTGTGGTTCCTCTCCTCCCCTCCATGCTGTGGTTCCTCTCCTCCCTTCCCTGCTGTGGTTCCCACGCTCCCCTCCCTGCTATGGTTCCTCTCCTCCCTTCCCTGCTGTGGTTCCCCTGCTCCTCTCCCTGCTGTGGTTCCTCTCCTCCCCTCCCTGCTGTGGTTCCCCTGCTCCCCTCCCTGCTGTCACTCCTCTCCTCCCTTCCCTGCTGTGGTTCACCTGCTCCTTTCCCTGCTGTGGTTCCTCTCCTCCCTTCCCTGCTGTGGTTCCCCTGCTCCTCTCTTTGCTGTGGTTCCTCTCCTCCCCTCCCTGCTGTGGTTCCTCTCCTCCCCTCCATGATGTGGTTCCTCTCCTCTCTTCCCTGCTGTGGTTCCCACGCTCCCCTCCCTGCTATGGTTGCTCTCCTCCCTTCCCTGCTGTGGTTCCCCTGCTCCTCTCCCTGCTGTGGTTCCTCTCCTCACCTCCCTGCTTTGGTTCCCCTGCTCCCCTCCCTTCCCTGCTGTGGTTCACCTGCTCCCTTCCCTGCTGTGGTTCCTCTCCTCCCCTCCCTGCTGTGGTTCCCCTGCTCCCCTCCCTGCTGTGACTCCTCACCTCTCTTCCCTGCTGTGGTTCCCCTGCTCCCTTCCCTGCTGTGGTTCCTCTCCTCCCTTCCCTGCTGTGATTCTCCTGCTCCTATCCCTGCTGTGGTTTCTCTCCTCCCCTCCCTGGTGTGGTTCCCGTGCTCCTCTCCCTGCTGTGGTTCCTCTCCTCCCCTCCCTGCTGTGGTTCCCCTGTCCCCACATCTGCTCTTACTCAAAGCTCGGAGCACTGCAATTCCACCATTCATCTCCTCTAGACATGCACTGACGCCACCCTCCTTGTCGGATTGCGGGGTTGTGGTCTTGGCCTATACTCCTCAAACCCCGACTCATGGACGAACAAGCCAAAATTCCCCCACCTAAACCCCTTCATCCGTGGGTCGTAGACAGGGTTCACCTGGCTGAAATGATCCGTCACCGCCCGCTTCACCGCCCTGCGGATGCTTGCCACCCACCGCGTGTTCTTTCGGTGGGAGTTTGTGAGGTTCATTGTCGACTTCTTGACCTTCGACAAGCCGTAGTCTATCTGCATTGTCAAGATAGGGGAGCATGGACAGATTCAAGCGTGATAAGTGTGAGAGGTCGGAATCATGTGGGGCAAGCACAACATGCAGTGACGTACGCCATGGTGGTAGAGTTTGAGCATGAAAGGTGATAGAGGAGTGGGGCAGCCTCTGAAAGGAAGAGGAAACCAAAGAGTGTTCGGAAACACGGGAGGGGAAGGATACTGCTGGGTACTGCATGGACGTGAGGGGATTGGTGAAAAATATAAACAACGTAAGCCCGTGAGTGAAAGCGTGAACCCAGAGTGGGCGCAACTCCAGAGGGCAGTTGGATACCAAGGTTTCAAGAAGCACCTGAGAGGGAGGTGGAAACACGGGGGTTTAAGGTTTACAAGGGATGGCACGGGTTTACCAAGGAGAAAAGTGTGGGATGAGAAACAAGTAAAAGGACCCTCACAAGCCACTCACCACCAAGATAGTCCAAGCAATATGATACGCCTTCAAGCATATGTCGTTCCCCATGGCAAATTCACCGAAGGCGTCCATTGCTGCGTTGAAGAAGATCTCGTTGCCGAACGGGAGATCAGTAACCTCAGCATTTCCCCATGTGCTCAGTTGGGCGTCCACACCTGCAACACACTCGAACGAAGGTGGTTCAAGGGGTGGGGTGTGAAAAGGGAAGAGGGTGGATGGGCTGGCGAATCACAGGTTTCTACAACGGTCTATGTAAAGGAAATGCCAAGCTATGGAGTACAGAATATGGGGTGTTGCAAGAAACGGGTGCTAGGGCTGAGATGGTGAAACAAGGGGGAGGGGGGGAGGGTGGGGGAAAAGGTCAGGCAGGTGTTTACTCACTCGGGCCATACTCCCCCCAGAGATCCTCCTTGAGCTCGGTGTCGATGTGGATTTCCGCTGCCCGCAAGCCACTCATAGGAACCCCCAACCCCTCGAGCACGGTCCGTTTGATGTAAAACCCACGCTCGTTCTTCCACTGCGTATACACGCGCTTGAATGCATCCCTCCGTGTTTTATCCGCCATGGCCTCCTTCAGCAATATCAATGGAACCACATAATGCTCAGAAATGACTTCATGTAAAACAAGAATCCGCTTCTCAAAGCTTGGGTAGAACGTGACAAGATGGTCCTCAGCTTCCATGCACATGCGCTTCCTTGCTTCTTCCATGTACAGCTGTTTAAAATGAGAATGTAGGGTAAACCAAAGAATGGGAATGTGGGGTATTGAGAATGTGAATGAGTCACTACAGAGAATGTGACCAGAGGGTGGGATGAGAATGAATCACAGCAGAGAATGAGACCAGATGGTGGGATGAGAATGAATCACTGCAGAGAATGAGACCAGAGGGTGGGATGAGAATGAATCACTGAAGAGAAGGAAACCAGAGAGCGGGAATGTGAATGAGTCATTGCAGAGAATGAGACCAGAGGGTGGGATGAGAATGAATCACTGCAGAGAAGGAAACCAGAGAGTGGGAATGTGAATGAGTCACTGCAGGGAATGAGACCAGAGGGTGGGATGAGAACGAAGCACTGCAGAGAATGAGACCAGAGGTTGGGATGAGAATGAATCACTGCAGAGAAGGAAACCAGAGAGTGGGATGAGAATGAATCACTGCAGAAGGAAACCAGAGAGTGGGAATGTGAATGAGTCACAGCAGAGAATGAGACCAGAGTGTGGGATGAGAATGAATCATTGCAGAGAATGAGACCAGAGAGTGGGGATGTGAACGAGTCATTGCAGAGAATGAGACCAGAGGGTGGTATGAGAATGAATCAATGCAGAGAATGAGACCAGAGGGTGGGATGAGAATGAATCACTGCAGAGAAGGTAGTGGGAGGCATGATGGCAGTGGGAGGCATGATGGCAGTGGGAGGCATGGTGGCAGTGGGAGGCATGATGGCAGTGGGATTCATGATGGCAGAGGGAGGCATGATGGCAGAGGGAGGCATGATGGTAGTGGGAGGCATGATGGCAGTGGGAGGCATGATGGCAGAGGGAGGCATGATGGCAGAGGGAGGCATGATGGCAGTGGGAGGCATGATGGCAGAGGGAGGCATGATGGCAGTGGGAGGCATGATGGCAGTGGGAGGCATGATGGCAGTGGGAGGCATGATGGCAGAGGGAGGCATGATGGCAGTGGGAGGCATGATGGCAGTGGGAGGCATGATGGCAGTGGGAGGCATGATGGCAGTGGGAGGCATGATGGCAGAGGGAGGCATGATGGTAGTGGGAGGCATGATGGCAGTGGGAGGCATGATGGCAGTGGGAGGCATGATGGCAGAGGGAGGCATGATGGCAGTGGGAGGCATGATGGCAGTGGGAGGCATGATGGCAGTGGGAGGCATGATGGCAGTGGGAGGCATGATGGCAGTGGGAGGCATGATGGCAGAGGGAGGCATGATGGTAGTGGGAGGCATGATGGCAGTGGGAGGCATGATGGCAGTGGGAGGCATGATGGCAGTGGGAGGCATGATGGCAGTGGGAGGCATGATGGCAGTGGGAGGCATGATGGCAGTGGGAGGCATGATGGCAGAGGGAGGCATGATGGTAGTGGGAGGCATGATGGCAGTGGGAGGCATGATGGCAGTGGGAGGCATGATGGCAGTGGGAGGCATGATGGCAGTGGGAGGCATGATGGCAGTGGGAGGCATGATGGCAGAGGGAGGCATGATGGTAGTGGGAGGCATGATGGCAGTTGGAGGCATGATGGCCGTGGGAGGCATGATGGCAGTGGGAGGCATGATGGCAGAAGGAGGCATGATGGTAGTGGGAGGCATGATGGCAGTGGGAGGCATGATGGCAGTGGGTGGGAGGCATGGTGGCAGTGGGAGGCATGATGGCAGTGGGATTCATGATGGCAGAGGGAGGCATGATGGCAGAGGGAGGCATGATGGTAGTGGGAGGCATGATGGCAGTGGGAGGCATGATGGCAGAGGGAGGCATGATGGCAGAGGGAGGCATGATGGCAGTGGGAGGCATGATGGCTGTGGGAGGCATGACGGCAGAGGGAGGCATGATGGCAGTGGGAGGCATGATGGCAGTGGGAGGCATGATGGCAGTGGGAGGCATCATGGCAGTGGGAGGCATGATGGCAGTGGGAGGCATGATGGCAGAGGGAGGCATGATGGTAGTGGGAGGCATGATGGCAGTGGGAGGCATGATGGCAGTGGGAGGCATGATGGCAGTGGGAGGCATGATGGCAGAAGGAGGCATGATGGTAGTGGGAGGCATGATGGCAGTGGGAGGCATGATGGCAGTGGGAGGCATGATGGCAGTGGGAGGCATGATGGCAGTGGGAGGCATGATGGCAGTGGGAGGCATGATGGCAGAGGGAGGCATGATGGTAGTGGGAGGCATGATGGCAGTGGGAGGCATGATGGCAGTGGGAGGCATGATGGCAGTGGGAGGCATGATGGCAGTGGGAGGCATGATGGCAGTGGGAGGCATGATGGCAGAGGGAGGCATGATGGTAGTGGGAGGCATGATGGCAGTTGGAGGCATGATGGCCGTGGGAGGCATGATGGCAGTGGGAGGCATGATGGCAGAAGGAGGCATGATGGTAGTGGGAGGCATGATGGCAGTGGGAGGCATGATGGCAGTGGGTGGGAGGCATGGTGGCAGTGGGAGGCATGATGGCAGTGGGATTCATGATGGCAGAGGGAGGCATGATGGCAGAGGGAGGCATGATGGTAGTGGGAGGCATGATGGCAGTGGGAGGCATGATGGCAGAGGGAGGCATGATGGCAGAGGGAGGCATGATGGCAGTGGGAGGCATGATGGCTGTGGGAGGCATGACGGCAGAGGGAGGCATGATGGCAGTGGGAGGCATGATGGCAGTGGGAGGCATGATGGCAGTGGGAGGCATCATGGCAGTGGGAGGCATGATGGCAGTGGGAGGCATGATGGCAGAGGGAGGCATGATGGTAGTGGGAGGCATGATGGCAGTGGGAGGCATGATGGCAGTGGGAGGCATGATGGCAGTGGGAGGCATGATGGCAGAAGGAGGCATGATGGTAGTGGGAGGCATGATGGCAGTGGGAGGCATGATGGCAGTGGGAGGCATGATGGCAGTGGGAGGCATGATGGCAGAGGGAGGCATGATGGTAGTGGGAGGCATGATGGCAGTGGGAGGCATGATGGCAGTGGGAGGCATGATGGCAGTGGGAGGCATGATGGCAGAAGGAGGCATGATGGTAGTGGGAGGCATGATGGCAGTGGGAGGCATGATGGCAGAGGGAGGCATGATGGCAGAGGGAGGCATGATGGCAGTGGGAGGCATGATGGCAGAGGGAGGCGTGGGCATGTGAATGAGTCAGGTACTAATGCATGTCAGTACTAATGCATGTAGCGAACGTAGAAATTGGTGGCACTTACCTTCAAATTAGTCGCGTTTGGCATCCCATGCCTCCTGGTGATGGGAGTGCCTTGTACAGCGCTCTCCGCCACAGCGCCTGGCGTTTCTGGCGGCTCAGGTTGTTCACTGGATATCGAGGTAAGCGGCGGGATTTGCGTCCCATTTCCCCCCCGGTCCACCGAAGGTTCACGACCGGCCTTTAGCTCGGCAATCTGCCGATTAGCTTCCTGCAAAGCCTGGAATAGTTGCTGCATGGATTCATTAGGAGAATTGATCGAGGGAAGGATGGGCACTCCGCTAGCGTTGAGCGGGGAATTGCCTCTTGCCGATGCGAAGAGGGGCGGAGTTGCTTGGTCAGAGTGTCCAACTTTCCTGCCATCATTGAACCAATCTCCAACACCACCCGCCTCACCATCTTCCACCGCCAGCCCCCCACCAGGGGCCGGATCGTCACTACCACCGGCTGGACTGTGCGTGTTGTCATGCTGCTGGCCAGCGTTGTCACGCACACTCCGATCTTGAAATCTATATGCTCTCTTCCCCAATCCTGAGGTGGTAGCAAGGGCAGCATACCGATCGTTGGTTGCTGCCCGTTTCATCCGAACGATCTCCCGACGATTCGACGGATCAGCATCATCCGAGTTCACCATGATCCTCATCTCATTGTAGAAGCCAGGGTCCTGTCTCACAACAGGACGCTCCTTACGACGCCGCTGGGTGTAACCCTCATTATCTGCTTGCTTTCCTTGAGCACACTCTCTACGTCTCTGCCGTTTATAGCCACTACCAGCCTTACCACCGGTTGCATGACCACACTTTCCGCTATACTGGTGGTTGCACGCTCCTCGTGCCCTCCCCCCTCTCCTACCGTTCTCATTACTCCCGGACCCAGTTTCAGCGTCATCACTCTCGTCCTCTTCCTCATCATACTTCTCCTCGCTCCCGGATGAACTCCCTGATTCCTCCTCAGAACAATCTTCTCCATCGGAAGATTCGACCTCAGCAACGGCCTTCTTTCCAGCCTTTCTGCACCGTGCCTTCACCCTCCCAGACACCCCCCTCTGATCTTCATGCTCAGCGCCACGGCTCTCCCTCCCACCCTCCTCTTGCCCTCGAACAATGTGTGCATCGGCCGCACGAACACCAGCTGGAGTAGAGGGAAAAGATGCATCATGCTTCATATCACACTCTCCCTCACGCTTCACCCCACGCTCCCCCACACGCTTCACAACACGCTCTCCCTCACGCTTCACATCACGCTTCACATCACGCTCTCCCTCTCGCTCTCCCTCACGCTCTCCCTCACGCTCCCCCTCACGCTCTCCCTCACGCTCTCCTTCATGCTCAGCCTCACACTCTCCCTCCCGCCTGCCCTCACGCCTGCCTTCACGCATGCCCTCAAGCCCTCCCTCACGCCTGCCCTCACGCTCTCCCTCACGCTCTCCCTCATGCTCAGCCTCACGCTCTCCCTCCCGCCTGCCCTCACGCCTACCTTCACGCCTGCCCTCAAGCCCTCCCGAACGCCTGCCCTCACGCTCTCCATCACGCTCATCCCCACGCTCATGCCCTTTTTCTGGCAGTTGCTCCTTGTCATCTACATCTTCTACAAGTCCTGTTGCACCAGGCGTGTCTTGTCTTTCTCTTTTCTTTTTCTTGGCTCCAGCAAGGGTACCTACAACACGCACGAAGTAAGGATGATACGCTCAGTTAATAAGAGGGCAGCACCTCTCTGGATTGAGCGGAACACATCCAAGTAATTAACGAGCAACTTTAAGACATACAAACTTGAAAAAGCTGAATAGAAGCTCGTTGCGTACCTTTCCTCCCTGTAGCAGGTTTGCACTGGTCCAACGGCTTCAGCTTTCGACCGTTCCTCCGCCTTTGTGAACCGCCGCGTCTAACCTTGCCATCGTAGGCCTCTTCTTCAGATTGCTCACTATCCGATGAAGATGCCCCTTCCGATTCCACCTTGGCATCGTGTGCTGGAAGTGTGTTCTTCCGACGATACCGCACAACTAGCTGGGAGGTATCATGAGGCGTCATCTTGTCGTGCCCCTTCTGTTCCGCGTCGGTTTTCGTGGGACCCATAGGTTGTAAAGCTCCAGCGGCGCTACTGAGGAGCGCACTAGCATTGGCCTGTTCAGAGACGATGATGTCTGCCATCTATCTATCAGTTCCGCTAGACAAGCCAAAAAAATGGTTACAAAAGTGAGCTGTGCATTTCTAAGTATCAAGTATCCCATAAATAGGTGTTGGAGACGCAAGGAACAGCAGCGCGCAATCGCACTACGTGCCCGCGAAACGCGCCAACGAAAGTCGAGCAAGCTAGAACGGCCGCTGGACGCGGCCTACTACGAGAACAGACCGCCGCGCCAATGTGTTACGTGCCTACTACGAAAACTGCACCGCAGCGCCAAAGATGGATGAGCCTATTACGAGAACAGCGACGTGACGGCTATTACGTGCTACCACTGACATCTTCTCACTTTGCATCGAGTGCCAGAGGGAACATCTACATTTACTATCACTGGTAGGAGTAGTACTACTACCGTACTAGTTGCAGGACGTGCCTACCATAGGGGTATCGTGACGAGAACCGAACGGCTACAAGCAAGACGAACTAGGTGCTTCGAACGTGGAGCATATCGTGGTCTCATCTCCCAGCATGGGAATCGGCATGAAGATGCTTGTTCCTGTAACGCATTACCAGGTGGCCGCATGTCGGGTGGTGGGGTTTGGTGCAGCGCAATAGTTTAGCTGCCCTTGAGGTTGCAAGGAAGGCGCTGTCAATGGGCCAAAATTTTCAAATCCTTAATTGCAGCAACCTCCCTGGGCTAGAACGCCCGAGCGTTCACAATGCCTGATCGGCACTATAAATACGAGACTTAGTACTAGTAAGTAATTGCACGCGTGAGTACGGGAACTGAACCAAGCCTTGCCGCACACCAAAAAAAACAAAAATGCAATGTGACAGCAGCAAATTGGCCGCGCGTTGTCGGCGCACAATTGTGCGTATGGAGCCGTGATAGATACAAGACATCGCGGCTCGATAATTCCCCGAGTGGTTGCGCTGAATCTTCGATTTCGTGGCACCGCTCTTTGTACCGAGGATGTGACAGGATTGATGCAATAAGATTGTGAAAAAGTTCAGTAATATTGTAAGGTTCACACAGTCTCCCTTCAATCAAGGTAATCATAGGATAGGGTGAGTAGAAAGAATAATCCTGCACACATAAACTAACAGTCTCATTCCAGTCGTCTCATCGCACACTGGTATACTTCTATGCATTTTCATATTCAAATTTAGGGTGACTACTGGGCGTGACTCACCGTACAATGACTATACCAGTGTTCACACGCCTAGCAACCTTCAATAAACATTCTGCAATTGTTGAGAGCAAGCACAGTTAGGTTCACATCAACAGCTGGTTTGCTGCGTAGATGTTCCAGCCCTGGAGAAGACAGAAACTGCATTGTGTCCACATTATTGCGTTCATGGGCCGATACATAGCAACTTACATAGGGCGCTGCAGTAGGAAGATTCTCATTGAGGTGCATGTGATGTTGTAATACTATCATGGTCGCCTGCCATGCCTCTAGGAGGTAGTTCATGATGCCTGCCCTGCATTCAGCTCATCTGACTACTCATCAAGTTCAGCAAGACCACAACCACTATGTTGTGTTCTGAGTGTATTCACTGACACTATGTAGTGCTCGGCTTAGAGCTTACCATCTGGTGCAAATCAGTTACTCCCCTCTCATGCCAGTTTCCATCAAGCGTCGAGCAGTACGATACAGCAGATCGTCAGGTACTAATGCATGTCAATAACCAACACCAAGCAGGCTTAAGGGCATCAGTCAGCCTGGATCAACCCACATGCATTGTCATAGACACAGGACCACCTAGCCAAATCGTGACGATATTGGCACCTCCACTGTCTTGGCGTCCCGGCCAAGTCACACGCATTCAAACTGTCAAACTTGGTCTCGACAAGCGTATGAATGATACGCATCACATAAACGCCGCAGTCATTCTCGTTGTCCTGCTGACGCACCTGCGGTAGGACAAGTATCAGGTGGTTCTTAAGGCTGAGTCACCATTTGCTTTCAGCCCCACCCCCCCATCCCACCGCCCCCCCCCCCCCCCCCCCCCCCCCCCTCCTCTCGTACTCATCCGCGCATCCCATGCCTGTCCATGCGCAGCACGCACCTCTCCCTTGCCCTACTCATCATCCCATGCCTGTCCATGCGCAGCACGCACCTCTCCCTTCCCCTACTCATCATCTCATGCCTGTCCATGCGCAGCACGCACCTCTCCCTTCCCCTACTCATCATCCCATGCCTGTCCATGCGCAGCATGCACCTCCCTCTTCCCCTACTCATCATCCCATGCCTGTCGATGCGCAGCACGCAACTCCCCCTTCCCCTATTCATCATCCCATGCCTGTCCATGCGCAGCACGCAACTCCCCCTTCCCCTATTCATCATCCCATGCCTGTCCATGCGCAGAATGCAACTCCCCCTTGCCCTACTCATCATCCCATGCCTGTCCATGCGCAGCACGCACCTCCCTCTTCCCCTACTCATCATCCCATGCCTGTCCATGCGCAGCATGCAACTCCCCCTTCCCCTACTCATCATCCCATGCCTGTCCATGCGCAGCATGCAACTCCCCCTTGCGCTACTCATCATCCCATGCCTGTCCATGCGCAGCACGCACCTCCCTCTTCCCCTATTCATCATCCCATGCCTGTCCATGCGCAGCACGCACCTCTCCCTTCCCCTACTCATCATCCCATGCCTGTCCATGCGCAGCACGCAACCCCCCCTTCCCCTACTCATCATCCCATGCCTGTCCATGCGCAGCACGCAACCCCCCCTTCCCCTACTCATCATCCCATGCCTGTCCATGCACCGCACGCAACTCCCCCTTCCCCTACTCATCATTCCATGCCTGTCCATGCGCAGCACGCAACTCCCCCTTCCCCTACTCATCATCCCATGCCTGTCCATGCGCAGCATGCACCTCCCTCTTCCCCTACTCATCATCCCATGCCTGTCGATGCGCAGCACGCAACTCCCCCTTCCCCTATTCATCATCCCATGCCTGTCCATGCGCAGCACGCACCTCCCCCTTCCCCTACTCATCATCCCATGCCTGTCCATGCGCAGCATGCACCTCTCCCTTCCCCTACTCATCGTCTCATGCCTGTCCATGCGCCGCACGCAACTCCCCCTTCCCCTACTCATCATCCCATGCCTGTCCATGCGCAGCACGCACCTCCCCCTTCCCCTACTCATCATCCCATGCCTGTTCATGCGCAGCATGCACCTCTCCCTTCCCCTACTCATCGTCTCATGCCTGTCCATGCGCCGCACGCAACTCCCCCTTCCCCTATTCATCATCCCATGCCTGTCCATGCGCAGCACGCAACTCCCCCTTCCCCTATTCATCATCCCATGCCTGTCCATGCGCAGCACGCACCTCCCCCTTCCCCTACTCATCATCCCATGCCTGTTCATGCGCAGCATGCACCTCTCCCTTCCCCTACTCATCGTCTCATGCCTGTCCATGCGCCGCACGCAACTCCCCCTTCCCCTATTCATCATCCCATGCCTGTCCATGCGCAGCACGCAACTCCCCCTTCCCCTATTCATCATCCCATGCCTGTCCATGCGCAGCACGCAACTCCCCCTTCCCCTATTCATCATCCCATGCCTGTCCATGCGCAGAATGCAACTCCCCCTTGCCCTACTCATCATCCCATGCCTGTCCATGCGCAGCACGCACCTCCCTCTTCCCCTACTCATCATCCCATGCCTGTCCATGCGCAGCATGCAACTCCCCCTTCCCCTACTCATCATCCCATGCCTGTCCATGCGCAGCATGCAACTCCCCCTTGCGCTACTCATCATCCCATGCCTGTCCATGCGCAGCACGCACCTCCCTCTTCCCCTATTCATCATCCCATGCCTGTCCATGCGCAGCACGCACCTCTCCCTTCCCCTACTCATCATCCCATGCCTGTCCATGCGCAGCACGCAACCCCCCCTTCCCCTACTCATCATCCCATGCCTGTCCATGCGCAGCACGCAACCCCCCCTTCCCCTACTTATCATCCCATGCCTGTCCATGCACCGCACGCAACCCCCCCTTCCCCTACTCATCATCCGATGCCTGCCCATGCGCAGCACGGACCTCCCCCTTCCCCTACTCATCCGCGCATCCCATGCCTGTCCATGAGCGGCCTGTCCCACACCAATCCTCCTTTTTGCACGGGCTGTGAATTCACATACCACAATGGTGTTTAACTGAATCGCTGCTGCCCACGCTTTTGCTTCTGTCTCCGTGACCCATGCGTAGCGCTGCATGGCTTGATTCATCAAACACCTGCGCATTAAGACGTACGGCTTGTTAACATTGGTCCAGAACAACTGTGTTTCATACGTAGCACATCACATATCTCACTGTCTCAATGGTCCATCAATGTCGACGTGAATTGCAAGTGAGTCCGCATGCCACAGGACACACTTGATCGGGATAATGGATCCCGGAGCGTGGGTAATTTCGATAACAACAAGGCTCCAGTGCGCACTGCCACGTAAAGGAGACATCCAAAATCGTTAGTTTGCAGCACATGTTTACGTTCAACACATGAATAAAAAGACCCGAGGACTTACTCCTTGTTAATCGGAACAAGAACGTGCTTAAATGACAAGATGTCTAGTCCATAGGCCTGCCTTGTGATCCTCTTCGACCCTGGGCGTGCTACGAGTGTCCAGAAATAAGGCGATGTGCAAAGCCACGACGCATTGTCATATCCGTACTCGTAGTGTAACATACTGCAGGATCGACATGAAAATATACAACGTCGGTGGAGCTCGTGAGAAACTAAAAACAAGGGTCAACAAATCAGTTCGCTATGTGTTCAACACAGAGCCACTCACGATGAGAGCCACTCGATAACAGTGCCACTGACCCACTGCTCGTTTTTCAGCGTGCGGTAATCTGAGGGCTTGATTTCAAGGGATCCCCCGAACGGGGATGGCATGCGCATGTGCCGGAAACTACATCGCGCTAACTTGGGTATGCCCTTCTCTTCCATATCTTGAGATAGCAAACTCAGCTTGAGCAGGATCGTGCCTTAGGTGATGGTCGAAATTCCGTGGCCCAGCCAACGGAAAGTCTAAGGAAATACTGTAGTTCTTGAAGAAGGACCCACACGCCCTTGCCCTCTGTTGGTCAACTTTGTGATTCTCTTACTCCCAGGCGTCGTCAACGAATAGCCTGTTCATACTTGGTGAACAGTGTTGGGTGGTCTGACAGAATTCCCTGCTGCAATGACATTGTTCGGCTTGTTTTTTTCTGACACACAATTGGCGTGTACGCGAATATGATGTCAGGTCCATGTTGCAAGCGGAAATGACCCTCGCCAACTTGTTTGCAGTTGGGTACAAAACCTCGTCAAGGTGCAGCGACGAGTAAGCAGTTTTTGTGCGCGAAAACAGTTACACCAAGAGATGTTGAGTATGGGAGTCGCATGGCGCTCTCGCCAATCTGCGCGGTTGTCGCGCACCAATAAACAGGAGGACCGAACACTTCGAGCCGCACATCACAAACCCTAACCAACTGCAAAACCCACTACTGACACTCGATGACCAATAATGGCCAATCATGATCACCTGAAACATATGTTCAGACTCAGATTGCCACTTCGTGTTCGCGCCAAATCCTTCCATCGCCTTTCGGTAAACTATCGTCCATACGATGGGCGCTATCTCACCACAGTGCAGTGTTACCATTCACATCTCAAGCTGGTGTGCCAAACACCCACACCCTTTCAGTCTTACTGACAGATCTGCTCGATGGAGGCTCAGGCTTGTGAGTTCTGCAATAAACGCGTGTACTGCTATCAATACGTAAGTAGCCATCAAGCTAACCATGACGGCTGTAAGCGGGCCCAAAAACGCAAGGCTGAAGAGGATGCTAAACGTAAGAAACTAGACCGTGGCTTTGAGAAGCAGTATACCTTGGTTCCGTTAGCAACAGCCACCCTTCCCGCGCCAGCGCATTCAATTCCCTTAGCGGCACTTCCGAACGCAGTAGAGCAGCACCCGCAGCCAGCAGAGCGAGTTCCTGATGCGGTTCGTACGTGCAGCACCACACTCGTGGTGGAAGAAGCTCCTACAGAGGAAATTCTTGATGTTAAGGCGGAAATATGCATTTTGGCACGATCTCACGGCCTTACCAACGGGGCGATAAACGACACAATACAGTTAGTTAGACATCCGAAATTAGATCCAAAGCAGCTGGACGATTGGAACAGCTACAGGGACCTGGAGAAGTACGAGAACAGCTTTGACCTTGGAGCGGAGAATGAATGGATCGTCGAGGAGATCGAGGTGGATCACGAGGTTGGGTTTCTCACCTTCAAGCGCCGAAACGCGATAACTGTGAGTGTATCCATGCGTGCTGGGTCACGTTTGTCACCTTGGAATGTGTTTGTTGAGACCGACTAAACCATCAGTCCAAATGGAACCATCAGACGACCAACGCTTCTGTTTTCCGTTATTGTTTCCATGATTATCACCATCAGCTCCTTCAGTCCATGTTCAAGAAGATGTCGGCTGTCAAGGGATTCAGCATCATGCCTCAAGAGTGGAAGGTGGATGGGGTTCGCCGCTACAGTACCCCTGCAAACACGGATTGGATGCTCGAGGCTTGGGTAAGTACCACGCCATCTCATGTCGCGTTGGACACAAGCATTGAAACCTAGGATCCAATACGTCTTTCCTTCTCTTTATCATCACTGTGGCAGGAAAGGGTGCGGAAGTTTGGCATAGTTATAGCTCTCATTTTGTTTTCGGACCAGACCAATCTATCGTACAACGGGCGCCAATCTGCCCACCCATTTCTGTTGTCCTTTGGGAACATTCCTGAATGGGCTAGGTGGCTTGAAGGAGGCACTGAGCTTCTCGGGCTCCTGCCTAACATCCCACCTGACCTCTCGCCAGAAGAGAAGGTTCGAGTGTTCCAGGACGCTGCAGAGATCATGATTCGAGATTTAAAGGCGGCTTCACATCTTTCAGGGTGAGACACTGCTACTCTCGCCCAAAGGCGCGCATCCCTTGTACTCTCCAGAATCCACCACACTACCCTACTTATTTTCATTGCCTATCTAATACACACTTCCCTCCCTTTTTTACCCCCATTCTCCTCTGTTCTTCTTTCGCATGCGTGCCACGACGCCGGATTCAGTCGAAAGTACTCTGCTCCCAGCCACCATGCTTCACCTAATACCATTCGGTTCCTTTCGTACCACCGTCTCCTGCCGTTGAAACCATCCCTGCTTGCTGTCCCCCTCCTCCTAACCGTCCTTCATCTGATTGCTTACAGCAACCCATGCTCACACTATCACTGACATATCTAACATGGTCTCCCATCCTCGCCATACCCCCCCCCCCCTGCTTTACCCCTCATCCTGGCGGCTGTGCAGGGGCGGTGTGATGGTGGAAGACAGTGCCGGCGTGCAGTATAGAGCATTCACGCTCCTTTATTCATGGGTGGCCGATCACCCGGAGTCTTCTAAGATCACCTGTACGATGGCATGCAACTCACACCATCCGTGCTCGTTGTGCTTGGCTGAAAAGGAGCGCCTGGATGAAATGAACTTTGAGTTGACTCAACAGCCAACTGACAAGAAGCGCCTGGATGAGCAGGACGAGTCCATTGTCCCCAGAAATGTCGAGGGTCGGAAGGAATCTGCGGTAACCAAAAAGAAGCAGGAAGACACCATTGTCCTTAGAACTGTCAAGGGTCAGAAGGATTTTCACAAGGAGATGAAAGCCGCGAAGACCAAAAAGGAGCTGAAGGCGGTGAAGAAGAAGTCCTCTACACACTTTGTGAAGGTGCGCCTTGCCCAGCTTGTTCCGCGTGCATCCTTGTGGTTCTCATATGGTTTTCCTCCGTATCCACCATATACTGCTGTGGCTAGTGTGCCCGGAAACCTACTCCGTTCTGCCTCCTGCTGTTCGTATTTATTATCCTGACCCGCCATAGTGGGTTTGCGTCCTTGACCCCCGACACAGAGCCTTTTGTGGGACTGGGAATTCGCAAAAACTCTCTGGGGCAACACGTACCTTGCTGTGCCCCCGGACATCATGCACATCTGGGAGCAGGGCATATGGCTGCATGCCATGAAGTGCCTGGTGAAGAAGCTGACCCCGAAGGAACGGAAGATTCTTCTAGAGTGAGTTGTTCCGCGCCCTGCTTCATGCTACTCCCCTCCGTGCTTGCTTTCCGCGCCATGCTTCATGCTACTCCCCTCCGAGCTTGCTTTCCGCACCCTGCTTCATGCTACTCCCCTCCGTGCTTGCTTTCTGCGCCATGCTTCATGCTACTCCCCTCCGTGCTTGCTTTCCGCGCCCTGCCTCAAGCTACTCCCCTCCGTGCTTGCTTTCCGCGCCATGCTTCATGCTACTCCCCTCCGTGCTTGCTTTGCGCGCCCTGCTTCATGCTACTCCCCTCCGCGCGCCCTGCTTCATGCTACTCCCCTCCGTGCTTGCTTTCCGCGCCCTGCTTCATGCTACTCCCCTCCGTACTTGCTTTCCGCGCCGTGATTCATGCTACTCCCCTCCGTGCTTGCTTTCCGCGCCCTGCTTCATGCTACTCCCCTCCGTGCTTGCTTTCCGCGCCCTGCTTCATGCTACTCCCCTCCGCGCGCCCTGCTTCATGCTACTCCCCTCCGTGCTTGCTTTCCGCGCCCTGCTTCATGCTACTCCCCTCCGTACTTGCTTTCCGCGCCGTGATTCATGCTACTCCCCTCCGTGCTTGCTTTCCGCGCTCTGACGAACTGTTACACACACCTAGGCGATACAAGATTTTGAAGGAGGCCACACCAGCTTCCGTGCTCCGTCTTCCTTCGGCGTGGGCCTACTTCACATCCACTGCCTGCTTTTCAGCTGCAGAGCATCGGGCAATGATGCAGGTCCTGCCCCTCATCATCAACCTCCCAGGACGAGAAGATATCCGCACGGCCATTGTCAAGATGGTCGAGTGGTACAAGGCGTTCATCCGCGCTGAGTACCACACCGACAACTCTCTGGAACAGATGAAAGACGCCACCATCAAGTAATTACTCCGTCTGTTATGTGGTTTCCAGGCCCTTCATTGCCACGTACGCACATTTTCATTGTCGCGCCTGTACCCTAAATGCTCCTCCCACCCTCTTTCATAGGCTTGACTTCATAGGCTTCTGTGTTTCCCGTTTGTACAATACCAAGCTTGTTGCTCAGTTCCCTACCAGCTTCACCTTCGTACTCGCCTGTTTCTCCCTTTCGTGCGATGATTTCCCTACCCAGGCTCCATCGTACTCCGTGACCTTTGGATGCCCTCCTTCCATCGTCGTTTTGCCTGACCCATCTTCTCCCTCTGCACTGCATCGCTTTTCCTCCATAACCCACCTCCCTGCTCCCTCCTTCCGTGTTTCTGTTTTCGCTGTCTGCTTCCTCACTCCCCCTCCCGCATCCCGTTTCTCCCTTCACGGCCTGCATTCCCCCTCTTAACTGCATGCGTTGTATCTAAATTTTCTCCAGGATGGTGAAGGCTCTTCGTGTCGCTTTCCCTAAGCAGAAGTCAAAGTGGAAAATTGTTAAGATTCATCTTCTCGTTCACCTCCCATCAACCATCCGTATGAGGGGGATCCCTGCCGAGTACTCGTCGAACTGCTACGAGCACTCCCACAAGACCACTGTGAAGCGTCCTTCACGTGGCACGAACTGGAAGAATGTTGAAGATCGAATCGTCCGGAAACACCTGGAGCATGCGGTAGTTAGGCAACTCGCGCGGGAGGCCGGAGGGGACAGCACGTACGAGACCTCGATGAAAGAGGTGACTTTTACGAACCTGCTCTGTTCCCCTGCACCCCGTCGTCAACTAAGTTTCCCTATTTTAATCCCATGCTGTGATCTCCTAAAGTGATGCCATGCTCTGTTCTCTTGCTCGGTTCCCCTCCTCTGTTTCCCTGCTCGGTTCTCTTGCTCTCTCCCCCTGCTCTGTTTCCCGGCTCGGTACTCTTGTTCTCTCCCCCTGCTCTGTTTCCCTGCTCGGTTCTCCTTCTCTCTCCCCCTGCTCTGTTCCTCTTGTTATTTTCCCTTCTTTGTTATATGCTCTGTTTCCCAGCTGTGTTCCCTACTGTGTCTTCCCCGCTCTGTTCCTTGCACTGTTCTCCTCTGCCATGTTCCGTTCTGTGTCTGCCCTGCTTTGTGCCCTGCTGTATTCCCTTCAGTTTCCCTGCTATGCTCCCTTCTGTGTCTGCCCTGCTCTGTGCCATGTTCAGTTTGCCCGAGCTCGGTTCTCATGCCCTCTCCCCTGCCCTGTTTCCCTGCTCGGTTCTCATGCTCTCTCCCCTGCCCTGTTTCCCTGCTCGGTTCTCATGCTCTTTCCTGCTCTGTTTCGCTGCTCGGGTCTCATGCTCTCCCCCCCTGCTCTTTTTCCCTGCTCGGCTCTCTTGCTCTCTCACACTGCTCTGTTCCCCTCGTCATTTCCCCCTCTTTGTTATCCGCTCTGTTACCCTGCTATGTTCCATGCTGTGTCTCCCCTACTCGGTGCCCTGTTCTGTTTCCCTGCTCTGTTCCCTGCACTGTTACCCTGCCATGTTCCGTTCTGTGTCTGCCCTGCTCTGTGCCTTGCTCTGTTCCCTTCACCGATTCCCTGATTTGTTCACTTCTGTGTCTGCCCTGCTCTGTGCCCCACTCTGTTCCCTTCACTGTTTCCCTGATTTGTTCACTTCTGTGTCTGCCATGCTATGTGCCACGCTCTGTTCCCTTCACTGTTTCCCTGATTTGTTCACTTCTATGTCTGCCCTGCTATGTGCCTCACTCTGTTCCCTTCACTGTTTCCCACATTTGTCACTTCTGTGTCTGCCCTGCTCTGTGCCCCGCTCTGTTCCCTTCACTGTTTACTTGATTTGTTCACTTCTGTGTCTGCCCTGCTCTGTGCCCCGCTCTGTTCCCTTCACCGTTTCCCTGATTTGTTCACTTCTGTGTCTGTCCTGCTCTGTGCCACGTTCTGTTCGCTCGTCTCTTTGCCCGCATTTCTGTTTCCATGCTCTCTGCATGTGTTGGCAATCACATTTAGGACCAACATAACCAAAGTAATCGATTCCTACCCCCCCATCCCCTTCTTCGTCCCCACAACCTCTCCCCCTTTCCCCCACACCCATTCCCACTTCGTGGCCTTTCCCTTCTTCGCCTACACCTCGCATCCATCCCCTATCCCCCCCCCCTCTTCCTCCCTCCAAAAGGACTCACCATACAACCCTCCCCCTCCCTATACCAACCCTCTCCTCTCCACGGTGACAGGCATGCCTGGCTGGCCAGAGGGTGCTTACTAAGACCCACAAGAAGATGGTCCTGGGGGACATCACCGACTCAGTGTTTCGGAGCTACGTCTTGACTGTTGGTGAACCTGCCATGAGTGCGATGGTTCTGCGACTCAGACGGGCAGGCATCAACACGCAAGTTTTGCAGGTGCATTCCCGGTCGTATGGATATGCCATTTTTTCTCACTGCCCCCACTTCCCCCTCTCCTGCATGCTTTCCACCCACTCCAGCCCCCCTTCCCCCTCTCCTGCATGCTTTCCACCCACCTTAGCCCTCATTCCCCCTCTCCTGCATGCTTTCCACCCACTCCAGCCCCCATTCCCCCTCTCCTGCATGCTTTCCACCCACTCCAGCCCCACTTCCCCCTCTCCTGCATGCTTTCCACCAACTCCAGCCCCCCTTCCCCCTCTCCTGCATGCTTTCCACCCACTCCAGCCCCCCTTCCCCCTCTCCTGCATGCTTTCCACTCACTCCAGCCCCCCTTCCCCCTCTCCTGCATGCTTTCCACCCACTCCAGCCCCCCTTCCCCCTCTCCTGCATGCTTTCCACTCACTCCAGCCGCACTTCCCCCTCTCCTGCATGCTTTCCACCCACTCCAGCCCCCCTTCCCCCTCTCCTGCATGCTTTCCACCCACTCCAGCCCCCCTTCCCCCTCTCCTGCATGCTTTTCCACCCACTCCAGCCCCCCTTCCCCCTCTCCTGCATGCTTTCCACCCACTCCAGCCCCCCTTCCCCCTCTCCAAAATGCTTTCCACCCACTCCAGTCCCCCTTCCCCCTCTCCAAAATGCTTTCCACCCACTCCAGCCCCCTTTCCCCCTCTCCTGCATGCTTTCCACCCACTCCAGCCCCCCTTCCCCCTCTTCAAAATGCTTTCCACCCACTCCAGCCCCCCTTCCCCCTCTCCTGCATGCTTTCCACCCACTCCAGCCCCACTTCCCCCTCTCCTGCATGCTTTCCACCCACTCCAGCCCCCCTTCCCCCTCTCCTGCATGCTTTCCACCCACTCCAGCCCCCCTTCCCCCTCTCCTGCATGCTTTCCACCCACTCCAGCCCCCCTTCCCCCTCTCCTGCATGCTCTCCACCCACTCCAGCCCCACTTCCCCCTCTCCTGCATGCTTTCCACCCACTCCAGCCCCCCTTCCCCCTCTCCTGCATGCTTTCCACTCACTCCAGCCGCCCTCTCCTGCATGCTTTCCACCCACTCCAGCCCCCCTTCCCCCTCTCCTGCATGCTTTCCACCCACTTTAGCCCCCCTTCCCCCTCTCCTGCATGCTTTCCACCCACTCCAGCCCCCATTCCCCCTCTCCTGCATGCTTTCCACTCACTCCAGCCGCACTTCCCCCTCTCCTGCATGCTTTCCACCCACTCCAGCCCCCCTTCCCCCTCTCCTGCATGTTTTCCACCCACTTTAGCCCCCCTTCCCCCTCTCCTGCATGCTTTCCACCCACTCCAGCCCCCATTCCCCCTCTCCTGCATGCTTTCCAACCACTCCAGCCCCACTTCCCCCTCTCCTGCATGCTTTCCACCCACTCCAGCCCCCCCTCCCCCTCTCCTGCATGCTTTCCACCCACTCCAGCCCCACTTCCCCCTCTCCTGCATGCTTTCCACCCACTCCAGCCCCCCTTCCCCCTCTCCTGCATGCTTTCCACCCACCTTAGCCCCCATTCCCCCTCTCTTGCATGCTTTCCACCCACTCCAGCCCCCGTTCCCCCTCTCCTGCATGCTCTCCACCCACTCCAGCCCCACTTCCCCCTCTCCTGCATGGCTTTCCACCCACTCCAGCCCCCCCTCCCCCTCTCCTGCATGCTTTCCACCCACTCCAGCCCCACTTCCCCCTCTCCTGCATGCTTTCCACCCACTCCAGCCCCCCTTCCCCCTCTCCTGCATGCTTTCCACCCACCTTAGCCCCCATTCCCCCTCTCTTGCATGCTTTCCACCCACTCCAGGCCCCATTCCCCCTCTCCTGCATGCTCTCCACCCACTCCAGCCCCACTTCCCCCTCTCCTGCATGCTTTCCACCCACTCCAGCCCCCCTTCCCCCTCTCCTGCATGCTTTCCACCCACTCCAGCCCCCCTTCCCCCTCTCCTGCATGCTTTCCACCCACTCCAGCCCCCCTTCCCCCTCTCCTGCATGCTTTTCCACCCACTCCAGCCCCCCTTCCCCCTCTCCTGCATGCTTTCCACCCACTCCAGCCCCCCTTCCCCCTCTCCAAAATGCTTTCCACCCACTCCAGCCCCCCTTCCCCCTCGCCAACCTGCTTTTCCACCCACTCCAGCCCTTTGCCAATTTCCCCCTTTCGCTATGCTCTCCACCGCCTCTTTCGCTGCTTTCACATTGTCTTGGTTCATGCTCGTGGTTTCAGGTGCACACGGCACTTGCGATTCCGCCTCACGACAAGATGGAATGGACGTCAAGGGGGCAGTTTGTCAAGGCTAGCCCGGGCGAGAAGAACTTCTCATCTGTTGCAATCAACCCTGCAGGGAAGGGGTCCCCCTGGTACGGCCGTTGTCTTGTCCTGTTTCACTACAACAAAGATGGGGAGCTGAGGCGCGGAGCATACGTGGAGTATTACACCGAGGACAAGCGACTATGCCCGTCAACGGGATGCAAGCGCCTTCTACCCACAGAGGGCGAGGATGATTTTGCAGTGATTGATGTCGACTGCATTCTCAGTCTCGTGCACATTGTTCCCTCATGTGAGGACGATGAAGTGAGCCTTCTTAATAGATTCGTTTGGTGAGGTCTAGCACACGTAGAGAACTTTGACGCATTGTGACTTTTGTAAACATGAAATTGTTCCCTGACTATGTTCTTTTTAGGCCTTGTAAGAATATAATAGGTGTAAAATTTCCTTCAAATAGTTAAACATGACTCTTGGAAGCACTATTTACATAGAGAAAATTACATCATCATATTCAAAGAAACATAAGTGCAAATGTCATTAATGTAACAAATGGTACACAAAAGACTAAACGAGGAATTCTTGGAGAGAATCAAATTTCTCGCTATCTGCTCCCTCCAAAGAGACATGCTCGACTATCTGTTAGGCCCGGAACCCTAATCCTGCGCACAAGCAAGAAATAGTTAGGAGCAAACATTCAGAATGTGACTGGAAAACATTCCGCCGAAGGCAAACGTTTTTTAGAGTTTCCCTGTACGTTTTTCAAACGATTGTCAAACGTACGATAGGCTGCCGCGAATGTCAGATGATTTTCAGACACACGCATTTTTGTGATGCTCTCTCTGCTCCTCCTCCCTCTCTTCTGCCTCCTCTTTCTCCTCCTCCTTCTCTTCCTGCTCTACCTGATACCCCTGGTCGCCTGCTTTTTTCTCGTGCAGCAGCGACCCGGCTGTTCCCCCCTCTGTCAGGAGCTTCATCCTCCTTATAAGATGATCTTTCGCTTTCGTTGAGAGATGCCAAGTCCTGCGCTGAACCGGCTACGGTTATCGCGTCAGCTGCTGCTGCGCCTATGGCCCAAAACACGCGCAGGAGGCAGGTAAATGCGACTGTAATGAAGGAGATTGTAACGGTGCTGGAACATTCATTCTTCTTGCACTGTACACCTGTGGCGAAAGAAGTACCAGCAACGAGAAGAATGAACGGCAGAAGGATCAGCGAAATCGTGCGAAATCGACGAAGCCCGCTACAGCAACCGAAGCCTCTTCGCCAAGTCCCCATTTCGTCCGCATGAGAAGAAGCCGAACCGCGACTTGATTTAGCTCACAATGATCACACAATCAGGAAAATTTGTAAGTCATTGACGGTCTTTAATACCGTTTGATTTATTCTGAATGCGAGCATCTACAGAATCTTTGGACCTTCTTGGATGTCTGAACACTGCTTTGCTACGGTCTCATCAACCTTCTTAGGTGTCTGACATAATTCTAAAGCACGGTACCGTCACCTAGCGGGAGCCGCTTGAAAGCTGGGCCTCGAAGCAAGCAATGCGAACGAATGAAATGAAGCTGCTTGTCAAATTGCCACCTCGAAACTGATAGTTCCTGCTTGGATACGACCGGTGAACCGTGTTTGTGAAGCCTGTGGGCTGGGCGGAAACGATTTTGTTGTGCAGTTACCATACTTGGATGAGACCTGTTGTGACCAGGCCTGTCGAAGTTCCTGGGACCCATACTTGCGCTCCCCAGCAGGCCTGTCGAAGTCCCTGGGACCAACACTTTGAGTTATGAGCTGTTCGAAGTTTGGCCCTGATTTTCGCGAAGGTGGCCGTTTTTTAGCCCTTAACGATCACGGGCGCAGGTCAAATTCAAAACTTGACATCCGGGCTTCCTTAAAAAATGTACGTGAGCCGTAATGGCACAAAACTTGACATCCGGGCTTCAACCTATTACTTAGCAGCGGGAAGGAGTATGCTAACGACTCATCTGCATACCTAAAGTGAGGGGGGAAGTGGGGTGGGGGGGGGGGAGGAGAGGGGTCGTAGGGCAAAACATCGTCAGCAAAGAAGTCGCTTAAACTCGTGTGTACAATCGCAAAGCACTTCCGAGGTGGTCGTTTTTCATGTAGTACTACTAGTGTGAACTGATGGGGCAATTTCCTCTTGGCCTCTTAGGGTGTCAGTGTCGCGAGTCCAGTGTGAGTACTTGGAACTGTGAGGAGACGAATTGACCTGAAAATATTTTGCAACTACAGCCATAACATCAACACAAGAAAGTCCTTTTGTGCCTAAGTAGATAGCTTGTGGGAGATACAGGGAGGATGAGAGTGGGAGGAGTAGAGTGGCAACTTGGGCAACTCGCAGGGCTACTCTACTCCTGATCCGGGAAATCAGGGAAAGGTCCCGAACCAGCCCTTAACGGATCCGGGTTAGGACCCCTATTTCTCAAAACCAGCCCGTAAGAAAAACGGGCTTCCCTCGAAACCAACCCTTTGAAATGCCGAAGCTGGCTATGAGTTCGCCCGGAATGTTCAGGGCATTAAGGGCAAATGCCCTTGAATCGACAGCCCTGCTCCCCAGCTCCTCCCCATCTGACCCTGTTTTTGGTGTAGCTGAGCGTTTGGGCGCCCTTAACGGTCACGGGCGCACCCCAAAGTGAAAACTTCAAATCCGGGCCTGTGAAGAGTTAGCACTTGGACGCTAAGGGAAAATTTGGGTGCTCCAAAGGTGACTTAGACACTTCACTAACACAGGATGGCTAGAAAACGTTAATGGAAAAATCCACTCCTCTCGTGCAACCTAAGGAGAAAGGAGGGGGGGGGGGGGGGGTGGGACTTAGACGCTAAGGGGAAATTTGGGTGCTTCAAGCTGGCTTAGACACTTTACAAACAGAGGATTGGCTAGAAAACGCTAAGGGAAAATCCACTCCTTTCGTGTAAGGAGGAAAGAAGGGGGGGGGGGACACTTAGACGCTAAGGGAAAATTCAGGTGCTCCAAGCTGACTTAGACACTTTACAAACACAGGATTGGCTAGAAAACACTAAGGGAAAAATCCACTCCTCTCGTGCAACCTGAGAAAAGGGGGGTGGGGTCAGGCAGAATTTGGGGCGGGGGGGGGTGGGTCCTACGACCAGAAACCAAAACTTCGAGACAGGGGAAGGCCTGGTTTGGGCCCTTAACGCATCCGGGGAAGGGTCGAGCGAGGCACTTAGTGGCACTGGTGCAGTGCGAATATAGCACTTTTGGCAGTCGAGCTGGAGCGAAAGTAGCCCGGAATGTTCAGGGCACTAAGGGCATATGCCCTTGAATCGACAGGCCTGGTTGTGACAGGCCTGATGCAGAACCGAGCTGAGCTACTCTCGGGGTTGCACTCTCAGAAGGGTTGGATGTGGCTTGGTGCAATACAGACGCTTACAGAGCGGTTAAGAGTCAAGCCTTCACTGCTCCTTGAATCTGTCACAGCAACTCCAAACATGCATTTGTTCACATTCGGTCTTCCTGCGTGTGTGTAGGTCTGGTCTGGAGTTGCAGCTGCTGCGCTCGGGAACCAAACAAGGTGCATCACACGCTCGAGGTCGGGAGACACTGACAGGGAACATCGAAGGCCCCTCCCACAAATCGACGGTTCAGATGACAGTTGCAAAAGTTTGTGCCCTCACCCTCAACGATTGGCTGTCATCGTCTCGTGTGCTCCTTTTCGTCAGGTGAACGAAATCTGGTCAGGTGACGGTGACTGACGAGGTTCTCGAAATTGTTACGAGGTTCCGAGATTGTTACGAGGTTCCGAAGAGGCAAGCGAAGCTCGCATTGGTCAAGCGGTAACCGGACGGATCAGGTGAACCGAATTTGAGGCTCCAGGCAGAAGCTGAGCAGAATTGTATTTGTAACAATTTTCCTAGCATCGTGCTCACTAGATTTGTTATGAGTTGTAAAAGAGAGTGCGCAGGTAAACGAATAACGAGGCTGTGACTGAATGAATCTGAGAATACAATGAATGCACAGACTAATGTAGGACTAGCCTAACCAAGAGGAAACCTCGGGAGGCGAGGTTGGGTGCAAGTTCGGCGATGGAAATGCCGAAGGCGACGCGAGGAGCCTCGGCAGCATTGAAATCGGCCGAACGTGCGAACTCTGAAAATCGGGTTGTACGCGAAGCAGTCAACCCCGATAAGGAATTCGGGAAAATTCCTTACACTACCCCCCCCCCCCCTCTAAGAAAGGCGGTCAATGTCTGCAACACGCCTGCGCGCCAAATAATCACCAACAAGTGGCGAGGCGTCGAGCGAGGCGGAAGGCACCCACGTGTCGTCCTCACTGGTGCGATCAGTCCAGCGGATCAGGAAATCCACGTGTCGGCCAGCTGCGTCAAGGCGAACCCGATGAGCCAGGATTTTCGAAGGGTCAAGTGTCGGCTCCGGAACAGGTCGTGCTGTAGGGACAGCTGGTTGACGTGTGATGTTTGTCGTTGCTGGCACGAACTTGCGAAGAAGGCTGACGTGGAAGGCGTCATGAATTCGCCAGTCGTCGGGTAGCAACAGCTTCGCGGTGACGGGTGTCACCATCTTGATAATCTTGAACGGTCCGCAAAATCGTGGCCGTAGTTTCGACGGGCCGGGCAGGTGCAGGTTCTTCGTGTCAAGTAGCACTAATTGCCCAGTGGTCAAGACGAGTTCCCGGCGTAGAAGATCTGTGTATTTGCGGGAGGTGATATTCGCCTTGCGGATTGCGTCGGCGGCTTTTTCTCGGGTTTCCTGTAGTTCCGTCACAAAAGTTTGTGACCGTGGGACCGGGTTGTCGAGGGCAGTCGCGGTGGGGACCGTCGGGTCCATCCCGTAATTCAAGAAAAACGGGGAGTGATTAGTCGTGCTGGATGGTGCGTTGTTGAAAGCAAACTCCAGCATCGCGAGAGAATCTTCCCAGCGGGCGGGGTCGGGGCAGTTTGTCCTGATTAA